TGCTGTAGCAGCCCTCTGGGCATAGTGCCGCTCACAACTTCCGGTCATTAATCCTCATTCTCTCTCTTCCCCACCCTACCCTCGTTCACCCTGCAGGCAGCAAAAGAGACCTTGGCCAAAGCTGTGCTGGCGGAGCTGCCCCAACAAGTTGTGCAGTATTTCAAGCATAAAAACCTGCCCCCCACCAACTCGGAGCCCGCCTGAGCTCCAGTGCCCAGCAGCAGCATGTCGGCTGAGCCTCCCGCCCTCCCCCAGGAACATGCACGCTCACCCTGCTTCCTTGTGGGTGGCCTTTTTTTACCGATCCACATTTTTATTTTTTACAACCGGACCTCCACCCCCAACTTCCTTCAGCCCAGCTGGGCTTCCTTTGTTGGAGTCAACTGTTGATGCTTCCAGGCCAAACTGGCTTCCTCTCCTCCTCTCCCCACCTTTGCCATTCTTAAGTATTGAATGTACTTTGTATAATTTTAGTGGAATTATTGTTATTGAGAATAAAATTTTTACAATCATAACTGGCTTTTTCCAAGTAACTATATGCAGACTCTGATGAAAGGAACGTGTCCTTGGTGCATACTTCGTGTCGTAGCCTGCACCTAATTAATTCCTGCTGTCTTTTTTAATACTGTGACTGTGTTCTATTTGTTATATACTCAGGGTAATAAACAAGTTTCAGACATCCCTGCGTCAGCTCCTTCCTCAGCAGGGACCTGACGGGCTCACTGATCTGAGAAAGGAAATGGAAGATGAAAATCCACCCTGCAAGTCTGCTAAGTTGGTGTAGTCACCTCTGCAATGGGGACATGCATTCCAGATGATAAGCTGTTAAATCGCTGCCAGTTAACAGTGATAACCTGTTAAACTGGCACAGAACCTGGCACATTGTACAAACTCAATAAATATTTGTGGATGAATAGAATGAATGTGCAGGCCCACACCAGTTTCTGGTTGGTTGCACTCAGGTGCAGCCAATACCACATATCCCTACCCCACAACTGGACAGCAGTCCCAGTCACCCATCTGCTCCTCCTTGGGTCTCCCGGGTGTTTGGGTCAGCCACTGGAGGTCTGTGAAAGCCTCTCTGGCTTCAGGACCCCAAATGGGGCTGCTTCTGACCCTGTTGTTTCTTCTGCATCCCCCTCTCTAGGCTCAGGCCCAGTTTTATGAAACCAGTCAGAGGACCCCTCTCTGAAAGTTCAGCCCCCGTCCTAGGTCCCTCCTTTATTCCACATACATCTTCTCTTTTAGCCACTTGACTCCCGCTTGGAGCTCCAGGTAGCCCCTTGGACATGGGCTTCCATGTAATCAGTAACAGCTAACCCTCCTGTTAAGCACTGATTCCAGTTCCATGTTCAGTGTTTTGCAGGCACTTTTTCTTTTTTGAGACAGGGTCTCACTCTGTCCCACCCAGGCTGGAGTGCAGTGGTGTGATCTCGGCTCACTGCAGCTTCAACCTTGTGGGCTCAAGCAGTGCTCCCACGTCAGCCTCCCAAGTAGCTGGAACACAGGCATGCACCACCACGCCCAGCTAACTTTTGTAGACATGGAGTTTCACCATGTTGCCCAGGCTACAAGCACTATCTTGGTGAACCCTTAAGATAGCTCCTGACAGTGACCATTTCAGAGATGAGGAGACAAGCAGAGAAGCAAATCAAGTCTACTAGAGGCAGAGCCAGGCCTCATACCCAAGTCTGGCTGCCTCATGGCCCTCACTTGCTCCACTGCACTGAATGCCTTCCCTTGGCTCTGGATGGGGTTCTTCTGCTCAAGCTGCTAATGAATTAGTCACTCTGTGCCACTGACATTGGGAAGTCACTTGTCCCCATCTACTCTTCTGCTCAGTAATTCTTACTGGGGCCTGCTAGGATTGGGCACCACAGCAGGTAGATTCCCATCTCTTAGTGCCTGGTGAGCTCCAGCCAGAGTTTTTCTGGCAGGAGCGAGTAAGGGATACCTTCATCCTAAGCTTCTGGTGCCCCTGCCGATTCTGTGGACACCAAGAATCAGCTGAAGGATCTGTTAGGGACACTTCTCTCAAGAGGGCCGCAGGATTGCACAGAGCCCTGATTTGCAGACTGTCCTTCGGAAAACCACACACTGCACTGGCCCCCAGGCTGGCAACATGGGTGGAATCCCACCCCTCCCTTACACCTTCCCATGGGAGCGGCTTACAAGCTTGGTGAAACTAGGGAGACTGCCATCCACTGGGCCACATGAGACCCAGCCTTGCAGTGGGGGTCTGTCCCACATGCTCCCACTCTCAGGTCACTTCCTCAGGTGTGGTGGCTGTAGTCCCCACATCCAGGCTTCACATGGGGGCAGATCCAGCCATCTCTGCTCTCTGTCTGCCCGTTCTCTGCCTAACAGTGGATGGGTAAGTCAAGCAGGCCCTTTACTCCTGGCTGGCTTCAGTTCACAAACTTGTCTAACAGTTTATCTAAACTTTTGACAAGGCCAACCAAATCACTTTTTATTTTTTTATTTTTGAGACAGAGTCTCACTCTGTCACCCAGGCTGGAGTGCAGTGGCACAATCTCAGCTCACTGCAGCCTCCGCCTCCTGGGTTCAAGTGATTCTCCTGCCTCAGCCTCCCAAGTAGTCGGGACTACAGGCGCACGCCACCTTGCCCAACTAATTTTTGTATTTTTAGTAGAGATGTAGTTTCACCATGTTTGTCAGGCTGTTCTCGAACTCCTGACCTCAAGTGATCCACCTGCCTCCCAAAGTGCTAGGATTACAGACATGAGCCACGGCGCCTGGCCCCAAATCACTTTTGTAAAATTCCAAGCTTTGGTGCTGCTACTTGGTTCCTGCACATGGATGGGAGGCTGAAAAGTGAACTTGGAAACTGAGCCAGAAAGACTCCTTTACCCTTGAATCCCCTCCATGGAGGCCTGGGCACTGGCATTTGTTTAGAAGTTTCACTGAAACCAAAGAAAGCTAGACTTAAAAGTTCAAATGAAAATTCTGGTTCTGTCACTTAGCTATGCAACCTCAGACAAGCCATTGAGCCCCTAGGAATTCTGATTTCCTGTAAAATATAGAGAAGGGCTGCTTTACAGGACTTTTTTTCCCCCAGAATGAAAGATACTACAGTCCACAAAAATAACGCACAAATACCCCAAACACCCTGGCACATACATAGCAAGCTCTCAGTATACACTGAATGAAAGAAACCAACACAAGCAATGATGTGCATGACTATTACTAAAATAGTAATGGAAGACCAGCTTGCAGCATAAAGCACAGGTGAATGGCTGTCCCTCAGGGTTTTTCTGCCTCTCCCCTCTGCAAAGCTCTGATGCTGGGGCCATGTTACCACCGTGAGGCTCCCTCTCTCTCTGAACCGCTGCTCCAGCAGGTAAGGGAGCAAAATGTCAGCCCTTGCCAGTGTCACTAAAGCACAAATGTGTGACTGGTTTCTGTGTTCAACCTGTAACTACAAAAGCATTGCCAAGATCCTAGCCTCCCACTGGGCAGAACTTGCATTCCATCCTGCGACACGTAAGTGGGCCGGGCATGCCAGAAAACCAAGAAAATACCCAAGTCCAAATAATCTGCACCACCATGGAGCTGTTTTTCTGGAAGGGCCGAAGATGACAGCTGAGCCATATACCCACGGCTAGGACAACTGCGCCAAGGAACCGGGTGTGCCTAAGCAATTAACATTTAGCCAAAAGGGAAGCATACAGCAAAAGCTGGTGGTTGGAGCTTCGACGACCAGATCTGACCCTTCGCCCATGCCAGTGTTCTAGCTGCAACTGAGGAATGCCAGTGGAATGGATAAACCTGCATAAATCACCACTAATGGAAGCTCTGGCTACGCCACCCAGAAACAAGGGAGGACTGATGGTAACAGCACTGAGGGTGGTCACCAGTTACTAAACACTATGTGTCAGATACCGCACACCTAGCACCTAATCTAGGTTATCTCTAACTCCCTAGGAAGTTAGTGGTGTTATTCCTATTTACCAAGGAGGAAAGTGAGGTCCAGAGAGGTCACACTAATCTTCCCCAGTGACACAGCTAGTCACAGCTGGCTCCTAACTCATAACCACTATGGTGGAACTAGGCTGAGTTCCCAGAGAGGAGCAGCAGAAACAGCGGGGAAGGGCTTAGGCAAATGAAGCTTCTCTCTTGGGTGGGAAGGAGGTGGCCAGACAGGAAGAACTCAGGAGCTAGAGTGAAAGAAATGAGGATGCCTGGCACTAAGTCACCCGACTTAGGTGCTCCTGACTCCCAGTATAGAATGATCCTGAAAAAAGCTGAAGCCACCCCCCACCCCACCCCTCTGAATTTGGGGAGCCAGCTCTCAGTCTCTTGCATCCTTAGATTCAGGGAAGACATACACAAGTAGGTAGCCAGCCACCTTTTTGGGTCTAGTCACATCAGCTTCCCTGGTTTTTACAGATGGAAAAATAGATGCTTTGAATATCACACTCACTTTCTCCACCCAGTTAGGTGACACAAGCTAGATCAAATAGAGGGGGCAGTAGGATTCCTATTAGCTTTCTCCCTCACATGGTTGGAGAATTATAAGAATCCAACCACTCAGGACAAAGTAAGCGAGCTTAAAGAAACCCATGCCAAACTTCGCTTTTGTCCCATAATCACCCAATTATAAAATCCCAATTATTAAGGCAGGAGTACTACACTCTACGGTTTAAAGCAGTGTTCCTTCCAGCCCTGTTTATTCTATTCTCCTTTGGGTTTGAACTTCAAGTCTACACTAGATACTTTCCAAGGCTGCTTCCTCTGTTGGTCAGATCAGATGCTGCTTTGTTAGCTGTGGTTTCTACAGAAGCTCTGTTTCAGTTCCAGAGCTCTGTGCTAATGGGTACAATGGAATATGATGCAACCATCACCAGTGATTCTCAGTCTCTCCTGAGACACCAGAAGATAAGTCACAGTCTGGAGTCTCACTCAACCTTCTCCACACAATCTAGCTGAGAGACACGGGGAGAGTTGGAAGCACAATATTCAGTAGAGGAAAAACAAGATCTTGTTCTCTGACAGGTTTATTAGCTTTCATGTTAATGTATGTTTTTAAACCCTGCAACCTTTTGTCAACTTCTTTCCACATCAAGAGGCCATGAGGTACAGTAATGTGGCTTGACTCAAGCCACATAAAGATGGTGACTTGATGCCCTAGCCTGCCTCCTGTAACAATGTGAGGCTGTTTTGGGTACATGCTGTAATAACAACACGGCTATCACAGGAACGATGAAGCAGAGAAGCAGAAGGTGCCTACACAGTTTTACCTAAACATCTTGTTTGTTAGGATGGAGCTGACGCGCCCATACTGGCAGTCAGGAACAATTAGCACAGAGTAGTTCTGAAAAGGAGGAAGAATTCACAAAGCATCAGTTATGGGTGCAGAGAAGTCGCCATCTGCCAACGGGCACCGGAGTGTCACTGCACTGGAAGGGGAAAACGAGTGGGCTGGATGAGATCCAGGGGCCTCTCTGCCCACGTTCAAAGTCAGTAGCTGCTCTGCCTGCCGGCACCACAGTGTCAACACATTTTGTGTATGTCTCACTCAGTCTCACACCCAAGAAAGTGAAAACAATTGACGTAGGAACAAGGGGAATGGATAAAGAACGGTACACGCTTATTCTAAAGCAGGAGAGCCTACAGATTGTCATCAAAGCTCATATCTTATCTCTTTCCTAGAGGCCTCCAAACCATCTCCCTCTCCCCCTCCCTCCTCCAGAATCCGAGGGATAAACCCGTTTCCCTTTATGAGACAAGGTGGAGCAGCACCTCTAGTTTTTGGCTGCTCATGGCCTCAGAGTTGCTGTTTGGAAAGGAAAAAGAGCAGCAGGGGCAGCAAAGAAAAGTACTAGGGCAGCACCTTTAGGTTAGAAATAGATTCCACAGTGAAAAGCACAAGTATAATGTGCATTAAACAGAGAAGGGCCTCAGTACAACAGTCACAATATGCAAGTGTGTCCCACTCGTTTACAATATCAGGATTCCAGGAGCTGCCAGAAATAAAGTCATCTCATTAACATACCTACCCACAGTTCTGATGTCTGACTATGAGTAAACAAGGCCTACGTTTGTTTCTCTAAAATTTAGAATCTTAAACTAAATCCTTTATTTCAAAAACAAACATAAAATAATTTCCCAGGCAGAGAAAAGGTCTGAGATGGAAGCTTTCTTGTTAGCAGTCCCTTCCTGCATAAACGGGGTTGGATAAAGAGGGGAGAGAGAATGGCCAAGGGTATGGAAAGCTTTCACAATGCATGCCGAGTGTGAAGTGACACCCCCAGCAGATGGGGTTTATCATCTTTACTTAGTCACACAACATCAAGGACTGGTTAGCTCCAGGGAAGGGCTCCATTTCATCACCTGGGTCAGTTCTCTTCCCCCGCATGCTCCACAATGCAGTAGAACCAAACACGTTCACCTACAATAGAATGTTTAAATAACACCTTACTTCTTACTTATAACTGCCCTTACTTCTTTGTGCTGTCAGGAAAAGAAAAAAACAGAAAGCAATAAAACCCAAACCCTTTGGCAAGCCAGCCGGTGCCTATTCTCCTAGGGCATTTTTAGTGGAACTTCAGCTGGGCCTTGCCCTCCTCCCAATATCAGTGAGGAAAGTGGCAGCGGGATAGGTTTGCTCATGTGCACTGCAGTAGAAAGAGAAACCAAACACAATTCGGGCCACAGGTGGATTCTGGCACATTTTTAGATTGGATTGGTTAAAAATGTCATGTTGTGCACAGGATGCAGGCAAAGGAGTTTTTTTTTTTGAGACGTAATGCCCGAAGGCAGCATGAGCGGTCCAATCTACCCTTGGGGAGGAGCTCCCTGTGTAAGGACAGAGAAACTAGGGGGCCTCGAGGAAAGTGTTGGTTCGGAAGATGGAGGAGACAATCTTTCCGGTGGCATTGATGGTGCCTTCGCTGTCTGAGCTGGACTCGGAGTCGCTGCTCCCAGAGTAGGCGCCCAGGCCCGGGAGGATGCCGATACAGACCGCAGCAGAGGGGCAGTGGATGGAGGGGCCACTCAGGGAAGTGTTTCCGAGAGACTTGCAGGATGAGGGCTCTGCAATAAAAGGTGAAAGACTGTCATTTCGTCACCCTTTTCCAAAGTTGGGGACTGACTTACTATGTGCCAGGCACTGTACCGCGGGCTTTTCCCACAGAGAAGCCTCAGAACAACACTATGCAGCCAATACTATCATCACCCTAAGAGGTGGGGAAACTGAAGGAGGAAGGGAGGCTCCAGGAGGTGAAAGGACTTCTGAAAGGGGCAGAGCTGAGACTTGAATCAAGGTCTTTTTAACTCCAGAGCCTGACTACACTCTCTTGTCCCCCATCAAATCCGAGCTGGAGAACAAGCTACTCTGGAGTGCAGCCTAGAGTGCTTTGATTTCCCCGTGCTCACACAGCCGTGAGAATCTGAAGACAGATTAAGAGAGACACTGTGAGCAATAATAACAATTCCATTAAGTTCTCAGCATATTACGCCATTCCTTATTTACTGACCAATAAGCCAGCTAGCACAGATACAATTTCAAGGTCAAACATTAGCTACAAAATAACATTCTTTTCTTTTTAAACATTTTAAAAAATCGGGTAGCCCCCTGGACTAGAATAGGCTTAGAAGGACTCACCAGAATAACGTTCTTTATTAAGAAGGGCCGCTTTTCCCAGATAGGAGAGAGGAGCAATTCAGAAACCAATTTAACACAACCTTTGCTTTCCAGTTGTGTTCTTTTACAAATGAGAAAACTGAAGCCTGTCAGGTAACATTTTAAGGCCATGCAGAATGTCACCTAGGAGCTGGGATTCTTTTTCTTACAGGAAACCCACAGTTACTCTGCCACCTCAATGACAAATATCTCAATCTAGACAATGCAGGACTTGGCTGGGCATGGTGGCTTATGCCTATAATCCCGGCACTTTGGGAGGCTGAGATGGGAGGACCACTTGAGGTCAGGAGTTTAAGACCAGCCTGGGCAACACAGTGAGGCCCTGTCTCCACGAAAAAATGTTTTGAAAAATTAGACGGTGCCAAGCGCGGTGGCTCATGCCTGTAATCCCAGCACTTTGGGAGGCCAAGGTGGGTGGATCACTTGAGGTCAGGAGTTCAAGGCCAGCCTGGCCAACATGGTGAAACCCCATCTCTACTAAAAGTACAAAAAATTAGCTGGGTGTGGTGATGTGTGCCTGTAATCCCAGTTACTAGGGAGACTGAGGGAGGAGAATAGCTCGAATCCAGGAGGCAGCGGTTGCAGTGAGTTGAGATCATGCCACTGCACTCCAACCAAAAAAAATCAGTTGGGTGTAGTTGTGCATGCCCGTGGTCCCAGCTACTTGTGAGGCTAATGCGAGGATTGCTTCAGCCCAGGAGTTCAAGGTTACGGTGAGCTATGATGGCACCACTGTACTCCAGCCTGGGCAACAAAGCAAGACCCTGTCTGAAAAAAAAAAGAAAGAAAGAAGAAGAAGAAGGAGAAAGAAAGAAAATGCAAGACTTGAAGACTAAAGAAAAAGTTAAGAACTCTACTCCAGGCCTTCCATTCTTCCCTGAAATGCTTCCGGCCTTATTTAATCACTACAACCTGATGTATAGGCGTTGTTCCCATTTTACTGATGAGGAAAGCCAAATGACTTGGCAAGGTTACAGGTTGCTTAAGGCAGAAAATGTGAAACTAAACATGAATCAAAAGAGAATATACTAAAACGTTAACCTGAGCTCACTGCAGAGTTAAGGGTTGGAGTTCACACTTTGTTGCCACAGGCTGACAAGCATACTACCTTCTAGGGTTTTGCCTTAGACGTACTAACACCTCATTTGCCCAGACACCTCAAGTAAATGTGAAGAGAATACACAGTTCCAAGTATAGGAAACCAGGAGTAAGCAAACAATACCACTGAGGAGTTAGAAGAGATATCAAACGGCCCACAAACAAAGTTCAGATCAATGCATTTGCTTGTTTGTGCAAGAAGCTCGAAGAAGGGAAAAGGAAGCTGCCAAAGATAAGCAATGTTAAAACATGGAGATGGAGAAAAGTAAAATGAAAGCCAACAATGGCTACAGAGACAGAGCAAGGCGATAAAAGAGGCAGGAGCAAATACTTGCAATATCACAAAAGCAAATTTCCTTAAAATACTAAGAGTTCTTCCAAATCTGTTAAAAAAAACAACCAACAACCAAATAGAAAAGTGAATAGAGAACATGAACAACTCACAGAAAAAGAAACAGATGAATTTTAAACATAAGGGGATAAACAATATATTAGGAGGGAATGTGTTGGGAACAGCAAACTTCGTATGCTGTTCAGGGGGTACAGAGAAATTTGGCAATGTTCTTTGAACTTAAATGATGTTCATAAAAGAACATTCATTGCAGCACTGTTTACAGTAGCAAAAGAGTACAGACAACCAAAATGTCCATTAGATGACTAGTTAAGTAATGGACTACTATTCAACCACTAAGATGAATAAAGTAGCTGGGCATAATGGCTCATGTCTGTCATCTCAGCACTTCGGGAGACCAAGGCAGAAGGATCACTTGAGCCCCCCAGGAGTTTGAGAACAGCCTGGCCAACACAGGGAAACTCTGTCTCTATAAAAAAATTTTAAAAATTAGCCAGGTGTGGTGGTGCACACTTGTAGTCCCAGCTACTCAGGAGGCTGAGGTAGGAAGATCACTTGAACTGGGGAAGTTGAGGCTGTAGTGAGCCATGATCACACCACAGAACTCCAAACTGGGTGACAGAGCGAGAACGAAGAAGAAGAAGAAGGAGGAGAGGAAGAAGAAGGAGAAGGAGAAGGAGAGGAAGGAGAAGGAGAAGGAGAAGGAGAAGGAGAAGAAGAAGAAGAAGAAAGCATCTCTGTGTGTACTGTTATTGAATGATCCCCAAGATACTGTGCTAAATGAAAAAGGCAAGGAGCAGGACAGTGTGTGAAAATTATAATTTGGGGCAAAGTGGTCATGCCCATGTATACGCATGTCAGTGTCTGAGAACAATAAATAAAAACTGGTAGCAGTGGCTGCTCAGGGGAAATGAACTTAGTGGTTGGAAAACGGGGGAGACTTACTTTTTACTCCACATTCTTTTGTCCCTTTTGAATTTTTCCTTTCTTTCTTTTTTTTTTTTTTAAACATAAGTCTCACTATGCTGCCCAGGTTAAACTCCTGGGCTCAAGCGATTTTCCCACCTCAGCCTCCCAGAGAGCTGGGATTACAGGTATGAGCCACCTAACCTGGCCTAAATGTTTTATTATGTGCATATATTACCAATTCAGACAATTTTTCAAAATGCAGCTGTGCTTGGGTAGACAATTTTTTAAAAAAGCAAATACAAAAAATTCAAAGAACATCCTGAGCACTTAAACTAGGGAGGAACAGTCCCGTTTATCTCTGTAACCCCAAGAGCATCCCAGTATTAAAGCTAAGAAGGCTGCAGAAGATAAGAGGGGTTGCTTGTTTGTATTCTCTATTAACTGTAAGCCCCTTGAAGGCAAGCACTCTTTTATCACCATTCCACCCCCAGGCCATATAGCACAAGGCCTGGCTCAGAGCAGGCTTGCATCCACAAGGGTCAGAAATCAGAATGCAAGAAACTGTGTCAGACAGTTTACAGTTTCATTGCAAATGGCTAATTTGGGGGGAACGGGTATAAAAATGTGACGCTCTTTTAACATTTGGAACATAACATCAAACTATATCATTCATGACTTAAACATGCATTGTAGTACTTATGTATACCATATAGAATGATACTTTCAGCATTCTGTTAGAAAAATTTGGTTGTTCAAAAAAAACAAACCGGCCAGGCATGGTGGCTCACGCCTGTAATCTCAACACTTTGGGAGGCTGGGGCAGGTGGATTACCTGAGGTCAGGGGTTCGAGACCAGCCTGGCCAACATGGGGAAACCTTGTCTCTACTAAAAATACAAAAATTAACCAGGCGTGGTGATACACGCCTGTAATCCCAGCTACTTGGGTGGCTGAGGCACGAGAATCACTTGAGCCTGGGAGGTGAAGGTTGCAATGAGCCGGGATTGCGCCACTGCACTCCAGCCTAGGGGACAGAGCGAGACTGTCTCAAAATAAAAAAAACAAACCAACCAACAAACAAAAAAAACCTTATAAGGGTATATAGATCAGTTACCTAGAAAATTAATTTATGTGAAATTGTTGAATGAGGTATTTCATTTTATCAAGTATAGACACTCCTGCTTAATGATGGGAATATGGCCTGAGAAATACATCATTAGACAATTTCATCATTGTGAACATCATAGTTATACAACCTAGATGGTACAGCCTACTACACATGTAGGCCATATGGTATATAGCCTATTGCTCCTAGGCTACAAACCTGTACAGCATGTTACTGTATGAATACTGTAGGCAGCTGTAGTACAATGGTCAGTATTTGTGTATCTAAACGTAGCTAAGCATAGAAAAAGGCACAGTAAAAATATGATATTATGATCTTATGGGACCACCATCATATATGCACCCATCATTGACAAAAATGTCGTTATGTGGCACATGACCATATTTCAAAGGCGAATGGAATTTAAAGGTCTATTTTATATAGAAAAGAAGGATGAAAGTCAGAGTGCCTGTGGCGGTAGAGAACTGGCCTAATGGAAGGACGGAAGTTAGCTACAGAAATATAATCAAAGAATCTGGACCACTGTGGCATCAGAAGAGTTTAAGTAAAAAAACCCAAATACCCCAATTATCTAGGAGGTTTCAAGAAAGAAAAGAGACTGCAAATCTGACAAATTTCATTCCAAAAGCAGTTAACTGTCCAAAGAGAACAAAATGGTGCCCTCTGATCTCACCCATTTGGTGAAGTTTCCTGCCAGCTTCTGCATTTGCAGGACCACATTGTCATACTAAATTAACACAGAAAATTACTAATAGAGAATGTTCTTAGTATTCAGACAGATGCGTGACTTGGGAGTAGATGGGGCCAACTTGTGCATTCACTGGCTCTGCTCAGTGCTTAAGTTCAGAGTCTTCACTGGGGAAAGGCTGAATCTCTATCAGAGTCATAGGGGCCCAAGGAGGAAATCCTCCCACTGCTAAGGACAGGGCTGAAGCAAGCTTCAAGGAGCATTCTTTTTGTGGGGCCTTAATTCCTAGCAAAGGAGAACACTTCCTGCCTAGTTTCTGTTGCAAGAATGCAGGAGTAGGAAGAAGGGATTTAGAATGACAAAAAGATGACTCTAAAACACAATTGTCTGCCTGAGATAGTCCAAAGAAGCTACACAAGTTTTCCTTTCCATTGATTCATTTGTATAGTTCCTACCAGGAAATAAGTACCATATAGTGAGCAAATAGCTTACTTGTGGAAATACATTTAAGATTCCTATGCCAAGCGCATTTAACCCCAGCAACTCAGGAGGCTCATGTGGGAGGATCGCCTAAGCCTGGGAGTTTGTGGCTGTAGTGTGCCATGATTGCACCCGTGAGTAGTCACTGCACTACAGCCTAAGTAACAAAGTGAGATCCTACCTCTAAAAAAAATTAATTAAAAGAAAAATATTCCTATGAAGTTTTGTGTGTATGTGTGTGTGTGTATACACATATACAGTATAGATTTATCCTATTTAAGCAAGTTTCCTGCTTATTAAAAAGATGTCAGTGAAAAATTCCAAAATTGCTGAAGGTAGTATAAATTGGGATAACTTAACTGAAGGGCAATTTGAGAATATTTACCTAAATTATAAATGTATATCCTCTCTGACCTATCAAGTCTACTTCAAGGTATTTAACTTGATAGATCTGTGCATGTGAAAAATTATGCACGTGTAGGATTATTACTGAAACACCAGAACAGGGGAAGAATGGAAAAAATCTAAGTGTTCATCAGTTAAAAAGTGGGATAAATGATATACCCATACAATATACAATACTACACAGCCTTAAAAAGCAACAAGGAAGCGCTCTACATCCAATTATGCAATGATTCCCAAGGTACAATAACTGCTGAATTAAGCAATGAACAGAGTAGGTTAGATTACAATATTACTAATAATGAAAGTATAAAAACAATATATAATGTATTCCTGCTGAAAAAAACCAACTTGATCAAGCTTCCAGATCAAATTACCATTTTACAGGAAACACAAGGTAGCAGGAAACAGCACAGGGATGCCATCAGTAAAATGTAGAGCCAGAGAAATGCTAAAGAACAAAGACCCAGTTTCTCCACAAATAAAATACAAAGAAAACAAAATATAAATTTAGAAAGGAAGAACTTACAGATTAAATTCAAATTAAAAGGTGTATTAGCCTATCGCTAAGATGGCAATATTGCCAAATTAATCTACAGATTCCAGCAATTCCTGTATCAAAATCTTAGCTGCCTTTTCTGCAGAAACTGACAAGCTGATCCCAAATTCATATGGAAATTCTACAGACTCCAAATAGCCAAAACAATCTTGAAAAACAGGAGCCAAGTTGGAAGACTCACACTTCCCAATTTTAAAACTTACTCCAAAGCTATAGTGATCAAGACTGTGTGGTAATGGCATACAGATAGACATATATAGCTCAGTGGAAGAAGACAGTCTAGAAATAAATCCACACATTTATGGTCAACTGATTTTTTAAAAATATAAATCACTGAGTTGTATCCTTTTAAAGGGTGAATTTTATGGTATGTGAGTTATACTTCAATACTTTTTTAAAAAAAAGCCATAGTAGCCAAATATAATGTCTGGTCCTTGTTAAGATCATAATTTTTTTTTTTTTTTTTTTGAGACGGAGTCTCGCTCTGTTAACAGCCCAGGCTGGAGTGCAGTGGCTTGATCTCCGCTCACTGCAAGCTCCGCCTCCCGGGTTCACGCAATTTTCCTGCCTCAGCATCCCAGGTAGCTAGGACTACAGGCATCCACCACCACGCCCGGCTAATTTTTTGTATTTTTAGTAGAGATGGCGTTTCACCGTGTTAGCCAGGATGTCTTGATCTCCTGACCTCATTGTCTGCCCGCCTCGGCCTCCCAAAGTGTTGGGATTACAGGCGTGAGCCACCGCACCTGGCCAAGATCATAATTTAAAAAAAAAATTTTTTTTTGAGACAACTGGAGAAAATACTAACTTAATATTTGATAATATTTGGTAATTATTGTGATTTTTTTTTTTTTTTTGATACAGAATCTCACTCTTGTTGCCCAGTTTGGAGAGCAACGGTGCAATCTCGGCTCGATGCAATGGCTCACCGCAACCTCTGCCTCCCGGGTTCAAGGGATTCTCCCGCCTCAGTCTCCCAAGTAGCTGGGATTACAGACATGCACCAGCAGGCCGACTAATTTTGTATTTTTAGTAGAGGCAGGGTTTCTCCATGTTGGTCAGGCTGGTTGCAAACTCCCGACCTCAGGTGATCTGCCCGCCTCAGTCTCCCAAAGTGCTGGGATTATAGGCATGAGCCACCGGGCCTGGCCTGTGATTATTAATATAATGGTATTGCAATTGTTAAAACAAAGAAACAAAATAAGAACTTGTATTTGCTAGAGACACATATTAAGAATTATGAATGAAATGATAATGTCTGGAATTGTCACAAAATATTACAGTTGAGAGATATAAATGAAATAAAATTGGCTATGTGCTAAAAACTGCTGACTGGGTGTGGTGGCTCACACCAGTAATTCCAGCACTTCGGGAGGCTGAGGCAGGTGGATCACTTGAGGCCAGGAGTTAGAGACCAGCCTGGCCAACATGGTGAAATCCCATCTCTACTAAAAATACAAAAATTAGCCAGATGTGGTGGCGCACGCCGGTAATCCCAAATACTTGGGAGGTTGAGGCAGGAGAATTACTTGAGCCCAGGAGGTGGAGGTTGCAGTGAGCTGAGATTAGGTCACTGCACTCCAGCCTGGGCGACAGAATGAGACTCCGTCTCAAAAAAAAAAAAAAAAAAAATTGTTGAAGCTCTTTCCTGTAGGATAGCTTACAAACAAACAAAAAAAAATCACTGAAGCTTGGTAATGGGGGTTTATTATACTTATCCCAACTTCTGAATGTTGCTTAAATTATCCATAATAAAGCATTTAAAAAATACATATTTACAATTGCTTGCACATGCATAGAATAGCTCTTGATGGATACATAAGAAATGTGGCTGGGCTTGGTGGCTCACTCCTGTAATCCCAGCACTTTGGGAGGCTGAGGCAGGCAGATTACTTGAGCTCAGGAGTGCAAGACCAGCCTGGCCAACATGGTGAAATCCCATCTCTACTAAAAATACAAAAATTAGCCAGATGTGGTGGCGCACGCCGGTAATCCCAAATACTTGGGAGGTTGAGGCAGGAGAATTACTTGAGCCCAGGAGGTGGAGGTTGCAGTGAGCTGAGATTAGGTCACTGCACTCCAGCCTGGGCGACAGAATGAGACTCCGTCTCAAAAAAAAAAAAAGTATAATTCTGTTTCCCTCTAAGGAGAACTAGATGGAAGAGGATATGGTAATGGCAGACTCTTTCTTTTTTTTTCCCCACACTCTTCTTTTTAAAAGTAGGTTCTAGAGCAAAAGGATAACAGCAACAGACCACCACCACTGGTGCTTAGTAGATGCATATAAAAAGCATCATTTTTTTTGAGACAAGTTAATGTAAGCCCTGCTGATTGATGGAATTTAGTTCAGAGTCTCAATCCCACATGGAGTAAGAATAAAACTGAAAACACACTCTTGAATTTCTCACCCCTAATCCAGCCCCAGTAACATTCACCTTCACTTACAAGTTCTTGCCACTTAATACAGAGGCAGATTTCATCACATAAAGGTAAAAACCAAAGAAGTATACTCCTGGAGACTGTATTAAGCTTCTAGGCTCAATCCAATCCAATAGTGAGCAGGAGCCAGGTATTTACCTCCTATTGGTAGCAAGCCAGGTGAAATCAAGAAACTTGACATTTGGGGGAAACAGAAAAAAACCTTTTGTGAGCAGAGGTGGTATGACCAGAGCCTGGTAAGCATTCCTGGGAGAGTACTATTTCCATTGATCAGTTTCACTGGTTTCTAATACGATAACTTTTACAGGTATAAAATCCTGCCTGGTATAAAATCCTGCCTGGCATAAAAAAGTTGGGTAAATTCAGTGTAGGTAGGCTTGCTTGAAGACGGAAATGCATTCATTTGCAGATGCAATGCATTATAGCCCTTTACTGTGGTTCATGTGTATTCTGAGTACAAGGAAGTAATGAAGGCTGCCACCCACCTTGATTCTTGTCATCTGGCTCAGGGTCTGGTTTCAGTCTTTTCACACTGTGGCCACTCTCTGAGCTGTAACAAAACACATGGTGATTTGAGCCATGTCCAATCTTGCAGATCAAAGCTTAGGGAATCAGGAGCACCAATAACAATTTATATGTGTCTTAGGAAGTCTCAAGAGGCTGGGATGATAAAAATGAATGAAAAGTATTCATTTCAGATTCTTAATCTCCTTCCAATTGCATCATTAGTCATAAAGACAATTTAAACTCCTGACAAATCCAGGGAATAAAGCACTGTATCTTCAAGCATCACTTCAACTTCAGATTCTTGGCCGCCTTTATCACTCAAATTGGTTAGAACCACAGATGGATTTCAAGAATATTTAGACATGTTCATAAATGACAAACATTTAGTAATTACAGATTGAAGAAAACATCTTTAGTGACAAGCTAGAGATTCTGAGAGTCACCCAGAAGACTTTCACTAAAAGAATGTATAAGGAATGTACTTCAATGAAGAAAGAAATGATCCCAGAAGGAAGGAATTCCAGAAGGAAGGGGTAGGGAACAAAGAAACTGGCAAAAGGAAATATAAGTCTAAACAAATACTGTCTGTATCAAAAAATAACATCTAGTTTGTGGTGTTCAACATGACCATACTGAAGTCACCTCTAAGACTGGGACATTACTGTGTGTATGTACTACCTGGTATTTTCTTGCAGGAAGTGCAGAGCAGGTTCCATTTAAGAGTTATGTGGGGGCCGGGCGCGGTGGCTCACGCCTGTAATCCCAGCACTTTGGGAGGCCGAGGCGGGCGGATCACAAGGTCAGGAGATCGAGACCATGGTGAAACCCCGTCTCTACTAAAAATACAAAAAATGAGCTGGGCGCGGTGGCGGGCGCCTGTAGTTCCAGCTATTCGGGAGGCGGAGGCAGGAGAATGGCGTGAACCCAGGAGGCGGAGCTTGCAGTGAGCCAGGATCGCGCCACTGCACTCCAGCTTGGGCGACAGAGCGAGACTCCGTCTCAAAAAAAAAAAAAAAAAAAGAGTTATGTGGGAAGCCCAGGAGCAGTGGCTCACACCTGTATAATACCATTACTTTGGGAGGCCAAGGCAGACGGATCACCTGAGGTGTTTGACACCAGCCTGGCCAACATGGTGAAACCCTGTCTCTACTAAAAATACAAAATTAGCCAGGTGTGGTGGTGTGTGCTTGTAATCCCAGCTACTTGGGAGGCTGAGGCAGGAGAATCGCTTGAACCCAGGAGGCAGAGGTGAGCCAAAATCGTACCATTGCACTCCAGCCTGGGCGACAAAAGCGAAACTCCAGCTCAAAAAAAAAAGAAAAGAAAAACAAAAAGAATCAGTGTTTACAAAACCACAATGCAATTAAGTTGGAAATCAATGACAAAAGCGAAACGTATTTTGTAGCCTCTAAGACACTGTTATATCATCATAAGGTGTTAAAATGTGTGTGTGGCGAGGGGGAACGCTTATCTTCCCCCTTACTGAAATATGGTTGTTACCTCAATATGGAGATTTTAAAAATACATTTCTAAATAATTCCTGAGTCAAAGAAGAAATCATAATGGATATTTTAAAATACTTAGAAGGAAATATAAAACTTATATACAATGAAAGAAGGAAATATAAAACTTACATACAGTGAAAGCTAAGGAAAATTTATAGCTTCAGATGCCTACAACTAAAAAGGCTGCACATTCATGAACTAGGTATCTGACAGTTTTTTCTAACAATAAATAAAAGAATAAACTAGAAGAGAGTAAAGAATATTCCTTTGAAGAAGGTAAGAAATTGCTGCTTGTTTTGTTCTTACGTTTCATGACATATACATGCCAATGGCTTCCAGACCTTCACCAGGCAGCAGAATCACTCATGGAACTTTGAAAACTACAACTCCCAGACTTCACTTCAAACTTACTGAACCAGAATTAGTGCGAGGCCTACAAATATAAATTATTAACAAACTCCCAGGTAATTCTAATAAACTCAGGGTCGGCCTACAAATATAAATTATTAACAAACTCCCAGGTAATTCCAATAAACTCAGGGTCGGCCTACAAATATAAATTATTAACAAACTCCCAGGTGATTCCAATAAACTCAGGGGCGGACAGATTAGGAACTCCTGCCCCAGGAGACTAATTCATCACCTTACTACACAAAGCAACATTAAATGATGTTGTTTCAAAACCCAAAAGGGGTTATATGCAGGTCACCAAATAAGCCACAGAGCCTTTTCCAAAGGTGATCTAAGGACTAAGGGAGACAGCTACAACACCCATTCTGCGACCACCAAGAGCAGTCTCAAGGGATAACAAATTGATCACCTGGAGAGCCCTCCCTTGGCATATTCCAGTAAAACTGACCTAGGTCCAAATCCTGCGAGTCCCTGGTCTTGCAGGAAAGCTTATGTGAGAACCTGAAAGGAATAATTCATGGTTTGGGTAGCGAGCCCTTCTCAGGATAACTCCTCCCCTCTGCTGCTATACCAGCATGACATTTTTACATGTAGGCAGTGTTCCTAAGAACATCTGCAGCAGATGGGTGGTGTGCCAAACCACAAGACTGCATCAATACATTCCCTTCAAAACATATGGCTGGTTGCCAATATATCATATTGATTTTCCTAACAGACTGCACTTAAACTTATCATTTCGCCCACAGTCTGTTGGGTCAAATCGAAATGACCAGATTCAATCACTCTGATGCCATTTCAGGATTTGGAAAGGGAGGAGCAAACATAGCAAAGAACTTATCACAGCTTCAAGACAGTGCTATCACTTCCCCATCAATCCAACCTAGCCACAGCCAGGTCTGTAACCCTGTCAGGGCTGCCATGTTCTTTCAGGACAGGATGTCTTTGCAGCAGCTATTCCCTCTGCCTAGACTGTTCTCTCCCTTTTTGCTTGTCAAAGTACTAGTCGTCCTACCTAATCAGCATCTTTCCAATGGTTTCCCCAACCTCCCCAACATGGAGATGCACACACCCTCCAAGCAGCATTGTATGCTCCTCCTTCTTGGTCTCAGCATACCCTACATAGATCCTTTCACAAGACTCACTACCTCATTTGTCTAGACAGAAGCCTAAATATTGAACTCGAGCTCCCTATTTCTCTATGATCTTGCACAAAGAAGGGTTTCAACCTCTCAAACTCTTGGTCTTCTCATCTACAAAACAGGGATTATAATTGTACTTTCACAGGATTGTTGAAGAATACATGAGATTATGCACAGGAAGCACTTAACACAATGTCTGGTGTGGCAGATCCCCACTGAAGAGTAGCTAGTATTTATATTTGTTGAATAAATGATCAGAGAGACGAGGGTTGAAGCCTATAGAAGGCCCCAAATCTGGAAAGGGAGAGAGGCATAGGTGAGCACACCAAGGGAACTTCATCAGGACTCACGCAAAGTAAGCGTTGGCTCTGTCTTCCATTACAAGTGGTGTTTCAGAGTACATGGTCAGAGCGAAATCTAAGTTGTGGGAGTGCTGACTGACCTCTTATGCTTCACAGCTCCTGCCAACAGCTTTGCCTGGGAGAATTTGTTCTTGGTTTCTATGGGCTTCACAGTCAGTTTCTTTTCCACTTCCTTCTTGTTCTCTTGAGAAATTCCAACCTTCTTGAGGTTATTGTGAGTTACCAGTTAAGGGTCAAACTAAGCAAAAGGAAGGACAACAAATATAACCCACTAGCCCTTCGGCTGTGCTATGTAATGTCTGGCCTACTTATTTAAATAAATGTCCCACCCTTCTTTATTCTGCCAGTCAAATCCAGCCGATTCAAAGATAAATGAAAGAGACCATGGAGGAAGACAGCATAGAAAGCCCAAAATAATACAGATAAGCAAGCTTCTCCTCTGATTCTCAAGGAAAATCTGAGCATAGCCACAAAACCCACTATTACCAAGGACATGGCCAATATCATGCTTGATGGGGAAAACAAAGATCTTAAGAAATATAAAGAAAACACACACACACAAATGTGGCTCCCCTGAAAACGTGCTTCCCCCTTCAAGGGTTAAATGAAATTTTGCAGAATGTTGTTATGACTATCAGTGGCATTTAATCTTAGACATTACTAAGACTAACTCCTGCTCCACTGGTGCAAGGAAGCATCAGAATCACCCCAAGGCTCATCAGACATGTCAAATCCCTCCCTGCCCCAAACCTACTGAATGAGGACCTCTAGAGGCCAGGGAGTTTGTTTTAAACACTCTCTGAAGGTGATTTTACACTTGATCTTAGTTAAAACACTGAGAAACAAACGATCAAAGGTGATTTTAATGAGACATCCTGTGCATATATACAACAACTGAAAAGCGGTTTTTAAAAGCATGACCAGTTCACTTGTAACATCAGTTTTTCGTTCTTGATGCCAATCTCTGGCTCTCAACTTTTTATTTTTTCTGAAGTGAAGAAAGGCCCCAAATTTTTGTCGGGGAGGTCACTTTCACTTGTTCCCTCCACCAGCCCTCCCTCCTCTCCCTCCACTTCTCCCTCCATTTTATGCTCTCTCTCGAAATGTCTTAGACAACAGATGTCTGGCCTACTTATTTAAATAAATGCCCCACCCTTCTTTATTCTGCCAGTCAAATCCAGCTGATTCAAAGATAAATGAAAGAACCATGGAGGAAGACAGCATAGAAAGCCCAAAATAATACAGATAAGCAACCTCTGATTCTCAATGAAAATCTGACACGGTGCAAGTCCTTATTTAAGATGCAGTAGTGCCTGGAACAATAGTGACATCTAGTGCCCAGGAAATCTAAGAAGCATGAATTATCAGCCCAAAGAGGTGGGTGGAAGTAGAGAATGTATGGTTAAGGTTATTTGTCTAGGCATGTTTGAACAATGGAGAAAACTGAGTTCCAGAAATCCTAGAATTCTAATTCTAATCACTCTCCAGGCAACTGACTCTGTTCTTATGGGCACAAGTTACCTTAAATATTTGCAGTATGCAACAGAAATTAGATATAATGCTCAGTACTATTATGAGTTTAATGAATTTAATGTTTTTGGGGTCATCATGGAAATAGATAATTTTTTTGTTTGTTTGTTTGAGACGGAGTCTTGCTCTGTTGCCCAGGCTGGAGTGCAGTGGCCAGATCTCAGCTCACTGCAAGCTCCGCCTCCCGGGTTTACACCATTCTCCTGCCTCAGCCTCCCAAGTAGCTGAGACTACAGGTGCCTGCCACCTCGCCCAGCTAGTTTTTTTTGTATTTTTTAGTAGAGACGGGGTTTCACCGTGTTAGCCAGGATGGTCTCGATCTCCTGACCTCATGATCCGCCCATCTCGGCAAACCACAGCTTATTTGTATTCAGAAGTATCCTATTATACAACATATCATATAGTAATCAAGCAAAGCCAAGAACAAGTTCCTAACTTAGAGCTTGTGCAGAGGCTCACGCCTGTAATCCTAACACTTTGGGAGGCCAAGGTGGGTGGATCATCTGAGGTTGGGAGTTCAAGACCAGCCTGGGAAATATGGTGATACACCATTTCTATGAAAAATGCCAAAAAAAATTAGCCAGGTATGGTGGCGTGTGCCTGTAATTCCAGCTACTTGGGAGGCTGAGGCAGGAGAATCACTTGAACCTGGGAGGCAGAGGTGGTGGTGACCTCAGATCACACCACTGCACTCCGGCCTGGGTAACAAGAGCAAAACTCTGTCTCAAAAAAAAAAAAGATTTCATCTTTCTAGGAGAAAATGCCAAAAAAAATTAGCATGTTGATTTTTTATCTGCTACTCCATCATTAGGAGACAGAAGTTCTCAAAACCCTCAATATTAAATATTAAAAAATAAAACAAAAAATGGAAAAAAAAACACAACAAAAGCATGTATATATTCATACATTATTCATACCATGACATAGACAAAACCCAACATTTAACTTTTTATTCTTTCAAAATGAAGAAAAGTCTTAACCTTTTAGGGGTAGGGTTGTTAATAATCTTTTTTTTTTTTTTTTTTTTTTTTGAGACGGAGTCTCACTCTGTCACCCAGGCTGGAGTGCAGTGGCACCATCTCCACTCACTGCAAGCTCCGCCTTCCGGGTTCACGCCATTCTCCTGCCTCAGCCTCCTGTGTAGCTAGGACTACAGGCGCCCGCCACCGCACTCGGCTAATTTTTGTATTTTTAGTAGAGACAGGGTTTCACCATGTTAGCCAGGATGGTCTCGATCTCCTGACCTCGTGATCTGCCCATCTTGGCCTCCCAAAGTGCTGGGATTACAGGCGTGAGCCACCGCGCCCGGCCAATAATCTTATTTTTGATCCGCAAAGTACAAGTAATTTTTCCTTCTTAAGCCCCTCTTCTCCCAAAATGCTTTAAAAACACAAACACCCCTCAAAAATCTCAAGAAACTCATTAGATGCAGCATTCTCTTAAAATTGCACCGTTTTTAACATACGCAATACTGCTAAATACTGGTTTAACCTGAGAGGAAACAACAAGAGTTCTGTTATTTACATGGTTTAAACCACAGCTTATTTGTATTCAGAAGTATCCTATTATACAACATATCATATAGTAATCAAGCAAAGCCAAGAACAAGTTCCTAACTTAGAGCGTCAATAAACAAATGTCTAATCCTTCAATTCCTATCTCAACATGTCTCTGGCTACTTGCATGCTTGGGATTAGTGCATGAGATGTCAGTAAGTTGAAAGGCCTGCTTTTTTTCAGTTTTTCTAGACAGTCAGAACTTTCCAAGTTTCCAGTTAAAGCCCTTATCCCTGGAGCCTCATTGTACTGCAATGTTACCAGGACACAAAGGTTTCTTTTGTCTCACTGCTGCCCTGTTCATTTTTCCTTTTAATTGAAAACCAAAGGGCATCTCACACTCAACAGCACTTCTCCCCGGGTGCTGCTTTGGGGGACACTATATGTCTTATTTGCTAGTCTGCCAACATAAAACAAAATATCATTCAAGTGAGAAGTGTAATGAATGTATTTCCTTGGACGAAAAAGCTTTGTGTCTGAAACAACACAATATGGGTATCTGCCTACCTCTACAAACGAACACATATTATTCTGGGGTCATCAGGGTCAGAGAAGGGGGAGTTCAGAATAATCAGCCTCAATCCTACAGTTGAGATTGAGGTATAACTTTCCATAAACTTCTATCTCCATGTTGCACATGAATGCCAGTAACAGAACTGGGACTGGAAGCCAGGTCTTTTCTGGTACAGAACACCAGTTCTGATGTAAATCAATTCCCAGGGTATCTGTCCATTCCAGTCCATGTCTTCTCCCACATAATCCCTTTTTTTTTTTTTTTAAGACGAAGTCTTGTTCTGTCCCCAGGCTGGAGTACAGTGGTGTGACCTTGGCCCACTGCAGTCTCCACCTCCCGGGTTCAAGCGATTCTCCTGCCTCAGCCTCCTGAGTAGTTGGGACTACAGGCACAAGCTACCATGCCTGGCTAATTTTTGTATTTTTAGCAGAGATGGGTTTTCACCATTTTGGCCAGGCTGGTCTCAAACTCTTGAACTCAAGTGATCCTCCTGCCTCGGCGTCCCAAAGTGCTGGAATTACAGGCGTGATCCACCGTGTCCGGGTCTCCCACATAACTCTTAAAATGGAAGTTGCTGCACATTCTCTGCAAGAAAATACCAACTAGTACATATACACAGTCAAGTCGTCTATTTTGGAGGTGAAGCCTGTTGGATTACACCAGTGATGTTACTCAACATATAAGCCTGAAATATCCAAATAAGCTTCCTCACATGAAGACAAATGGTCCTATTAATATCTCTTATTAATCATTTATTAATTTATTCACATATTTACTGAGAATCTACTACATGCCAGGCACTGGGGAAATCAGAAGTGGCCAAAGTCAGATAGTCTTTTTCTTATGGAGCTCATTTATTTCACATTCTAGCAGGAAAGAGATAGACAAACCAGTAGGCAAATAAATAAAGACAACTTTCAGATAGTGACAAATCTATAAAAAATGATATTACTGGTCAAGTGCAGTGGCTCACGCCTGTAATCCCAGCACTTTGGGATGCTGGAGTGGGCGGATCACCTGAGGTAAGGAGTTCGAGACCAGCCTGACCAATATGATGAAACCTCGTCTCTACTAAAAATATAAAAATTAGCTGGGCGTAGTGGCATGCACCTGTAATCCCAGCTACTTGGGAGGCTGAGACAGGAGAATCACTCGAACCCGGGAGGCAGAGGTTGCAGTGAGCCAAGATCGTGCCACTGCACTCCAGCCTGGGCAACAAGAGAAAAACTCCTTCTCAAAAAAAAAAATTGATATTACCGATAGCAATTTTAGGTGGGGTGCTTAGGGAAGGTCTCTAAAAGGGAGAGCTGAGCAGAGGGCTAAGCTGTGAAATGCGTCTTGCAAAATCTGAGGGCAGAACATTTTGGGCTGAGGAAACAGCAAGTCTGAGGCCTTGAGATGGACTCAGAAAGCATGGTGAGAGAGAACATAAAGAAGGGCAGCAGGCTGCAGTACAGTCAACATGAGAAAGAGTGGCTTCAACATGCAACAAGGAGGTGGGTTGGCCTAAATAATGTAGAGCCTTCAATGGCCTGATACAGAATAAGACTTTAGTCTAAATATAAGGGGAAGCCACTAGAGTATTTCAAATAGAAAAGTGACATGATGTCATATATGGTTTTTAAAGTTCCCTTTCTTGTCTAAGGAATAGATTATTGAGGATGAGAGCAGAAACAAACCAATTAGATGGTCACAGGAGTCCAGAAGAAAGTCTACTAGTACTACAGTAGCAGTAGATACCTAGAATTCAAGAGATTTGGAGTATATTTTGGAAGCAGTTCTTGGCCCAGGCACCTGGAGGCATAGGACTACCAGTTACTGGGACTGGGAGGACCAGAAAAAGAAGAGACTTTGGGGAAGGGCAGTGTGATGAGAGTGGGGGTTATGTGGCACAATATTGAGAATTTTGTTTCAGCTAAGTTACATTTGGGATGTCTATTAAGACATTTAAGTGGATGACCAAAAGGCAACAATGAGCCACAGCAAAGTCATCTTTGCAGATTTCTCAGCCCTTCTATGGAGAGAGGGCATGCTATAACCAGTAGAGAACATCTCACTAAGAATACAGGAAAGTTGCTAAACATGTTCTTTTAAAACTCAGAGGCCAATTTCTCCCCTGCATGAAGCTGGCTGCACTGCCCACCTGTCTGAGAGTCTAATCCCAGTACTATTAGGATTGATGCCTTGAGTTAACCCTAAGAAGGATGTGGACTTTTGACAACACCCTTGCACACAACACAAACTCCACAACCCGTTGCCAGCTTTTCAGAATCACAGGAAAATCAGTGTTGAAAATGACTTGAGAGATCACCAGGTAGAAAACCCCCCTTCTGTTGATGAGGAGATGACATCCATAGATACTGATGAGAAAATGGACACCTTACAGGTTTTCCTCCAGGTACAAAGGATATTCTGTATTCCTTCAGTTCTTTCAGTTCTTCTTCTCTTCGTTGCTTTTCTATTAGTTCCTGCTGTCGAGAAACCTCATCAAGGAAGTTGGTCTCATCTTCATCTAAGCCTCTTACCATGTTTTCTGAGGAAATAATTAAACAGGGAACACTTAGCAGGCTAAAGGGAAAAATAAGATTTTTCCTTTCCCCTTTTTTAATAAACAGCAGATTCTTCAGGGGATTAAAAAAAAAGAACTGGTAAATACCATCGCGTTTGAATAGATAACAGCGCATAAAAAAACAAGGCATTTTTCCCATTACTAAATATTACCATAGAATTAAAATGGGTGTTTTGAGCTCTAAACAAAAATATTCAATGTGGTTTAGAAGGCTGAAGGCTGTCTCTTTTCCACCAAATGAGCATCTGGAGACTTGAAAATCAAGACAATTCCGTGGCTAGTTAGGAAAAGTGCTGCACGAGGCAAAAGTGCGTCAAAAATACCCCACAGAGTCCCTTGAACTCTGTGTTTTCGGAAGCTTACTGAATTTGAACTGTTCCTCATACTCCTGCTGCTTCCTGTCCTTCTGTTCCTGTAGTCTTTCATACAGAGAGCGAGGGTCATAAACCTCCTCTGGACATTCTGAAAGGAAAAGGAGATGGGAGAGAGGTGGAGGGGGAGGAGATACATACTTCAGATTATTTTCATATTATTTTGGAATCATAAAAGCTTTTAAAGACAAAGTCAAATCTCTGCATGATCTGAGGGTGTGGACAACACAAAAATAGTACAAAGTCCAGTTTCCCTTCGGACCTCAGAGAGGGGCCAACAGTTCTCAAAGCCAACTATCAATGTCAATAGCGCCCATGGCCTGAAACAGTTAACTGATTGAGGGGCCAGCCCTAACCCTCCACAGCAGCTGTGTTCTCAGTTGTTCAGACCATGGATCCACCTGTATAGATGGAGGAGAGGAGCAGAATCTCTTGGAAGGCAGTGTGGTAGGCAGAAAAGGAATAGGATGTGAGTATCCTGGCTCTACTCCCAGCTGTGCAGGACCTTACACAGGTGACTTTGCCCCTCTGAGTCTCAGTTCCTCAACTCTAAAGTAAGGACAATTGGCCAGCATGGTGGCTCACGCCTGTAATCCCAGCACTTTGGGAGGCCGAGGCAGGAGTTCAGGAGTTTGGAACCAGCCTGGCCAACATGATGAAACTCCATCTCTACCAAAAATACAAAAATTAGCCAGGCATGGTAGCAGGTGCCTGTAATCCCAATTACTCGGAAGGCTGAAGCAGGAGAATCTCTTGAGCCCAGGAGGCGGAGGTTGCAGTGAGCCAAGATCGCACCACTGCACTCCAGCCTGGGCAACAGAGTGAGACTCCGTCTCAAAAAAGTAAATAAATAAAACAAAGTGAGGACAATTAATACCTACTCTGCAGGGCTACTGCGTGGATTAAAGACCATTATACTGAATGTCACAGTATACCTTCTGGATCTTCAGGTTTTCGAACTTTCTCCCATTCTTCTTGCCTCCTTTTGCGCCGTTCATCTAGTTCTGCCTCAGACACAAACCTCTTTTTGATAACAAGGTTACCATCATCCCCTCCATCCATAATGAAACAACCAATCTACAAAACAAAAACAAAAACAAAAATATCATTTCAAGTGAGAACTGCAATTAAAATTCTAAAGAGAAACAAGGAGATTTAGCTCTGTCTCACCCAGCAACAAACTAAAAATTATCTTCCAACTTTGAATTGAAAAAATTCTCAGCTGGGCACGGTGGCAAATGCCTGTAATCCTGGCACTTTGGGAGGCCAAGGCAGGCAGATCACGAGGTCAGGAGTTCAAGACCAGCCTGACTGACATGGTGAAACCCCATCTCTACTAAAAATACAAAAATTAGTCAGGCACCTGCTACCATGCCTGGCTAATTTTTGTATTTTTGGTAGAGATGGAGTTTCATCATGTTGGCCAGGCTGGTTCCAAACTCCTGAACTCCTGCCTCGGCCTCCCAAAGTGCTGGGATTACACGCACCTGTAATCCCAGCTACTCAGGAGGCTGAGGCAGGAGAATCACTTAAACCTGGGAGGCACCCAAGCCTGAGCGACAGGGCAAGACTCTATCTCAAGAAAAAAAAAACAAAAAAAAAAAAACAAAACTCTCAAATAGTTTAATTTATAGGCCATTGATGAAAGCACATGAATACACTTTTCCAAACATATCAGGGAATTTTTATTAACATCAATGTTATCTACACAGTTGGCAAGAGGACCTGGAATAATTCTTATTACCTGGTGTTCCATAGTAAATCTCACATTGCAGGTACTTCTCTGTCCTTCTAATCTAGATAAATTGGCCTCCTGAGCATCCCATCCTTTTCCCAGCTTTATCCTCCTTTATTTCTGTAACATCTGACATTGTTTCTTCTTGAAATTCCTGTTTCTGGGACATTACACTATCTTGATTCACCTGCTCTTGCCTCCAAGTAGATTAAGATGGAGAATCTCAGCTACTGAAGATTTAGTGATCAAGTCCAGTCTGTACAGCAGGGAACGTGAATAAACCATGAATGGAGAAAGTGAGACTGGAAGAACGGATCTCCCAACTCCAACTTCAGTTCCATGTACTTTCCTGAATATTAATCTGACTCTTCATTTATCTCTCTCCTGACCTTCCTCCTTGTAAACCCCTTGTCTGTGCCATTTAAGATTTGAACTTCAATCCTTCTCTTTTCTCACTCTCACAATCACCTCAACCATTTTATGCATATTTTGACACAGAAGATTACCTAATCTGTTATTTCTACCTGAGCTTTTCTTCAGAGGAGAGAAGGAAATGAAGATAGCAGAGTGTGTATTACTTATTACTTCTTTTTTTTTTTTTTTTTGAGATGAAGTCTTGTTCTGTCGCCCAAGCTGGAGTCCAGTGGTGCAATCTCGACTCACTGCAACCTCCGCCTCCCGGGTTCAAGCAATTCTCCTGTCTCTGCCTGCTGAGTAGCTGGGACTATAGGCATGTGCCAACATGCCCAGCTAATTTTTGTATTTTTAGTAGAGATGGGGTTTCACTATGTCAGCCAGGCTTGTCTCGAACTCCTTACCTCGTGATCCACCTGCCTAGGCGTCCCAAAGTGCTGGAATTATAGGTGTGAGCCACTGCAGCTGGCCGTAATACTCCTTTTAAACTAAATCTCTGTTTTTCTTTATTGGTTTCTTTCCTTTTGAGTAACTGTAGAATCAACCCCTACCCAGACATGTTATGTGTTATTCACAGCACTATGCGCTAACAAGGAGGCACATATTCAATCCAATGTCCATTCCAAGATGACCACTAACAACAAAAACAGTAAGTTTCCACGCTACCACAAAAATAAGGCAGCTAACCGCTAATGAGCTCTTACCATGTACTGTATTCTTTTTATGGATATTATCTAATTAACATGGTCATTGATCCTATGAGAAATATCATGTTTATAGATGAAGTTGAGGTCCAGAGGAGTTAGATTATTTGTCTAAGGTGATACACGTGGTGAATGGTAGAGCCAAGAACCAAAGTCAGGCCTAACATCAAAAATTCATACTCTTACCAACCTTACCATACTCCTCCCCAGAAAACACTAAATCTTGGTTGAAAACAAAGACATGTCGACTTCAGCTCTCTTCCTACTTCAAATTCCAGTGTTAAGAATATTCATGCAACATTTTTATTTAGTAAAGCTAGAAATGGAAGCTGAAAAAACAAACCCAAACGTTCAGAACAAGAGAATAGTCTCAGCCTGTTGCTGAGGTTTAGTTTAATGTAACAATAATAAGAAAGAATTGTGAAAATTACTAGAAAGAAATGAAATCAACTGACAGACGCTGTTGCTCCCACCTAAAGCCCACAACCTGGACACTTCTGATTTAGCAGCACTCCACGACTCCAGCCAGAGGCTCATTACTGAAGCAGAACTGTTCAGTCTCTGTGAAAATGCCAAAAATTCCTCAAGTTCTACAGAACAACCTCTTATGAAACCAGAGCCAACAATTTCTTAAACGTCTCTGGCAGAGAAAACGTGAACTTTCTAGGGCTCTAATGATTGGGAGAGACATTCTGGACAACCCTCAGTTTCCCCCTTTCTCATCCCCTATTAACCATTAAGTCTCCTTTCTCATCCTGTATTAATCACTTGGTTTCTTTCCATCACCCATTTTTCCTAAATAATTCAGAGTAGGATAGGTCCTTATAGCCTACCTAACACGATAATCACTCGACATCTGAATTTACCATACACACCCAGGAGAAGGTCATCCAACTCATATATTAAAACTTCAAGAGGGACCACTGCACTCCCTTCCTAGGCAGCCAACTCCCTCTCTAAGCAGATTTGACTGTTAGGATAGTTCTTCCTTAAACTGAAGTGAAATCTGTTTTACTATAAATTCAACACATAGGTTCAATCCACTGGGACTATACAAAAAGAATCGAATCTTTTCTAACATGACCATATTTCAGTTGTTTGAAGACAATTCCCATGTTCTTCCTAATTTGTTGTTTTTCTGAGCCAAACATTCCTAGTTACTTTAATCTTATAAGATGGAGAAAAATAATCATGTCTCCGGGAAATGAATTTATCAGATTAGATATGATTTAAACCTGGGAAATAAATACTAGGATATGGCAATGCCATTGGTGCCCCAGTAAATGTCTCTCTTCATTCTTGTTATATATATATAATTTTTTTTTTTTTTTTTTTTAGGACAGAGTCTCGCTCTGCCGCCCAGGCGGAGTGCAGTAGCATGATCTTGGCTCATTGCAACCTCCGCCTCCCAGATTCAAGTGATTCTCCTGCTTCAGCCTCCTGAGTAGCTGGGATTACAGGTGTGTGCCACCATGCCCGGCTAATTTTTGTATTTTTAGTAAAGATGGGGTTTCATTATGTTGGCCAGGCTGGTCTTGAACTCCTGACCTCAGGTGATCCACTGGCCTTGGCCTCCCAAAGTGTTGGGATTACAGGCATGAGCCACTGTGCCTGGCCTATATTTTTAAAACAGAAAATTAAAAAATCTTCCAATATGCCAAAAAAAAAAAAAACCAAACCCTAGATTTTTACATTTCCATCTAAGTAAGAAATCAGAGAGCCTCCTGGGTTCAAGCAGTTCTCATGCCTCAGCCTCCCGAATAGCTGGGACTACAGGTATGCACCACTACACCTGACTAATTTTTTTTTTTTTTTTGCAGAGACAGGGTCTCACCATGTTGCCCAGGCTGGTCTCAAACTCCTGGACTCAAGCGATACGATCTGCCCACCTCAGCCTGCCAAAGTGCTGGGGTTATACGTATGAGCCACTGCACCCGGCCTACAATCTTTTATACACAGGGACAAAACCAGAAATCAGTTGGTTAATGAAAATGAGAAATAAAGCAAATGCATACATTTAAAAAAAAAATTTAAAGACAAGTGCTGCAGGGGCAAAAAGGGGACAAGAAATGTATTTCTCATCAGCTCTCAGTGGGTTGGTCTCCCGAAAGCAAAGTGACACTGTCAAAACTAATGCACACTTGTAAAAGTCTGCTCTTTAAAACTAATTTCTTAATTCAGGTTGGGCATGGTGGCTCATGCCTATAATCCCAGCACTTTGGGAGGCCAAGGCAGGAGGACCAGACTGGACAATAAAGCGAGACCCCCCCCATCTCTACAAAAAAATTTTAAAAACTAGCCAGGCATGGTGGTGTGTGCCTGTAGTCCCAGCTACTCAGAGGCTGAGGTGGGAGGATCATTTACTCCAGGAGGCTGAGGCTGCAGTGAGCCATGATTGCACCACTGCGCTCTAGCCTGGGCAACAGAGTGAGACCCTGTCTCAACAAATAAATTAATTAATTAATAATAAAACTAATATCATAATTCTGGCATTCCCTTGATCCCCAAATAAAGAAAGTAAGCCAAGTTAGATGGCCACAATAGTAATAAATTTCTGTAAGTTTAAAAGGAGTAGACTAAAACATAGACTGCTTTATACATCTTTTTTTAAATTAGCATTTTCTTCTGTAGGTCCTCATTCTCTGCATGGCTTTGCTCAGGCTGTTCCCTCTGCCAGGAATACCCTTGCTTTCTTTTCACCCCATGCAAACTGCTGCTCCACCCACCCAGAATCTCACTGAAGACCATCTCCTTTATGAAAAGACCTCCTAGAGTAGTTAATACGTATTTCCTTCCTTTGTGTTCCTGCTGTGATCATTCATAACTCTACTACGGCCCTTATTCACTGTGTTTTATTATCTATGACTGTTCCAACAGCTCTTCATCTCCACAGTGCTTATTATTATTAGCACAGTATCTGGCATATATTAGGTATTCAAATACTTACTAAATAAACCAACCATGAGGAGCTGAAGAATCTGAGCAGGGAGGAATGAACTCACATGAACATTCCTAGGTACTGTCAAGTGCAAGCTATAGAGATTGGTAGCCATCAAGCAAGTATTTGCTGAAGTGTCAGTATCATAGGAATTCTATTCAAACACCATATAATTTATGCAGTAAGAAACAAAGGACCAAAACTTAAATCATTTTACTATATCATATAATTGATATCATCTTTCAAAAATAACTGCTACTTTCCTTTAATTTCAACTGATTAAAAATGGTGACTTAACCTGCAAAAGCAGTACTTGATGCAGACAGCGTATTTCTTTGAAGAGTCCAATGGCTGTTTATTCTGCAAGAAAGAGGTGATAAATACCTGTAACTTACTGACCTGCTGGAAGTAGACAGAGAAGCTAGAAAACTAGATTGTAGTGACTTCTAATTCCTATTGTCTAGGTAAATTTTCACAAGTCTCTTCTTTTCCCCTTTTGTTTGCTAGAGTAATTAAAAACAAAACAAAAGACAAACAGCCCAGGGATATCGGGGATATGGGCTCTAACTGTGAAGATCCCTGGAGGAATGCAGAGGACTTACATTAGGAATGCTTATTTTGTCCTTACTGTGTTCCACTTTAGAAAGAGTAAACAAATGCTGTCAGCTTTCCTTTACTCACATGTTTTTTCAAAGTGACTCAAGTTGAATTATCAAACTAAACATTACATTATTTTTTAAAGGATTTATTCAAGTTCTTCAAATAGGGAATTCATAGAAAACTAAAATCATTTCAAAATTCACTTTGTCCACCAAACTTAGAGTTCAAACTGGCACAAATAAAGAACGTGGTTTTCAAATCTGCCTCACAGTCAAGAAAACAAAGTTCTTATATTTCAAGCCAAAGTAACTGTTAAACACTGAACTACTGGGTTTACATTGGAGACCGTGGTATTTAATTTCCAGGGTGGTGGGACAAAATGGGCTCAGTTCTTACACAGCACACTACACATTTTAAAATACAAAACTTACATTGCTGCTCCCCAAGTAATTGCTATTCCTAACTTGAAAAATGACTCCATTAAGTTAGTGCCATGACACAGGTAATGAGATCTGGTTTCCTATGGAATTGAATTATGTGATGGCAAACTACTTAAGTGTTTACATCATTGGCCACCATATCCTTCTAATTCTAAAATTAGACAGACTGTACATGTAAAAACACACCAGAATCAGGTTTCTGTGTTCTGTTGTTTTAAGGCTTCACTCTGAGTAGCAAAAGCAATAGGTCAATTCATTTCCTTCTGTCAGTAAATACAGATTATTGCTTTCCAACATTTTTTACTCTGATGTTCAAGTCACATTGTACTTCAAAATGCAGGACAGCAACTAAGAGGAATTTGCCATCTGGCTAACTCAACTATATTCCAAATAAAGACTGCTTTCTGGATAGAAGGCACTTCTACCAAGATATAATAATTTAGATTTTTAAAAATTTAGCTGACTTTTCCTATATCATAAAATTTATTTAGAGGATGGTAACTGCTAACAGAGAGCCTGCTGTTAGTATTTATTACTAGGCAAAGTAAAGTCAATCTTCTAACACTGAAGCTTATTTAACATACTCCAGTAGCAAAGGAGACTAAAAGAATCTAAAAACTAAACCACAGAAAAAGCAATTTAATCCATATTTTAAATGTTTATTATAAGGGGCAATTTACAATAACCTTTCAGGCATCTATGAAACACATACAATAAAAAATTCGGCTTTGCAATAATCTCTCAGGCATCTATAGAACACATATAATAAGAAATTCAGCCAGGCGCAGTGGCTCACACCTGTAATCCTAGCACTTTGGGAGGCCGAGGCAGGTTGATCACTTGAGTTCAGGAGTTCAAGACCAGTCTGGCCAACATGGTGAAACCCCATCTCTACTAAAAATACAAAATTAGCCAGGTGTGGTGACATGCACCTGTAATCCCAGCTACCTGGGAGGCTGAGGCAGGAGAATCACTTGAACCCAGGAGGCGAAGGTTGCAGTGAGCTGAGATTTCACGCCACTGTACTCCAGCCTGGGCAATAGAGTGAGACTCCGTCTCAGAAAAAGAAAAAAAACAAAAAGAAATTAAGGCCTGGTGCGGTAGCTCACACCTGCAATCTGAGCACTTTGGGAGGCCAAGGCAGGACTGTTTGAGTCCAGGAGTTCAAGACGTGCCTGGGTAACATGGCGAGACCCCATCTCTATTAAAAATAAACAAACAAACAAACAGACTGGGCACAGTGGCTCATGCCTGTAGTCCCAAAGCTGTGGGAGGCCAAGGTGGGAGCATCACTTGAGGCCAGGAGTTTAGGACCAGCCTGGGCAACACAGTGAGACTCTGTCTCTACAAAAAAAATTTAAAAATAGCCAGGTGTGATGGTGCACTACTTAGGAGGCTGAAGTGGGAAGATGGCTTCAGCCGAGGAGTTCCAGGCTACAGTGAGCTATGAGGGCCACTGCACTCCAGACTGGACAACAGCACAAGACCCTGCCTGGGGAAAAAAAAAAAAAAAAAAGTTAAAAAAATTATTGATTTATCTTTCCATAGCGCAAGAGCAGAGACTCAAATGCGCGTTTATCTTGAATTCATCTATATGCACTAGAAGACAACTAATAAAACACTGCACTCCAGACTGGACAACAGCACAAGACCCTCCCTTGGGAAAAAAAAAAAAAAAAAAGTTAAAAAAATTATTGATTTATCTTTCCATAGCGCAAGAGCAGAGACTCAAATGCGCGTTTATCTTGAATTCATCTATATGCACTAGAAGACAACTAATTTAAATGTCAGTTCCCTTAGCTGATCCTCATTCACATGCGCCTCTCCGAATATGAACACTTCCCTCACTATGCATGATTGTATTCATTGCATTTTTTACATATTGTGACTCTTAAATACAAACCAACAACTTCATCTGGGGCTCACAGGAAGAAAAACAGCAGTTTTTTCCAAAGCCAAAATAAAACTTGCCTGAGGATCTAGAGAAAAAAAACCCAAACCAAAGTGTTTTTCCTATTCTCTCACTCAACAATCAACACAGTATAATTCTGTGAGGGATATGTCCCCACACACCAAGCAATCCACCAATTCTGCAGCAGACACCAACCGGCTGGGTGTCCTCTAATTCAGTTCAACTCTGACACTACCTACCTGGATGAAGACTGCATCAGATCCCACAGACTGAGGGCTGAGTCCCACAAGACTAGCCTCCATTTATAGATACCAGGTTGTTTTCCCTGTGGTTCGGACCAACTGGCTATTAATCGGGGTTCCCATGACCTGCTCCTTAGGTTCTGTGAATTTGCTAGACTAGTTCACAGAACTCAGAGGAACTTAGAGGAACACTTTACTTACATATACCGGTTTATTATAAAAGGATATTACAAAGGATACAGATGAAGCGATGCATAGGGCGAGGCATGTGGGAAAGGCACAGAGCTTCCATGCACTCTCTGGGGCACCATCATCCAGGAACCTCCCACGTCCACCTATTCAGAAGCTCCCCAAACCCAGTCTTTTGGGGTTTTATTTAAGCTTCATTACTTAGACATGATTAATTAAACAGTGACCACTGGTGATCAACACAATCATCAGCTCCTCTGCCCTCTCCTTTCCCCAGAGGTTGGACACTGGGGAGGGGCTGAAAGTCCTAACTCTCTAATCTTCCCTGGGTCTTTCAAGTGACCAGCCCCCATCCTAAAGCTACTTAGGGGCTGCCAGCCACCAGTCAGCTCCTTAGCATATAAAAAGACACCAATCATTTTGGAGATTCCAAGGATTATAGGAGTTGTATGCCACAGGAGACAGGGACGAAGGCCAAATATGTATTTTATAATATCACACTGGCCATGTCAGAATTGTGCAACACTGGTACTACAATTAACATGCTGCTTCCCTGAAATTTCAAGGGTAGCTTTGCTTGTAAGCTATTTTGTCATCTAGGCTCGCTTCAGAACCTAACCCACACCTCAAGTCATATTCCATCCTCCCTCCCCCGATCCTACGTAACTCCACTTCAAGACCAAATTAAAAACAAAATAAAACAAATAATCGCAGTCCCAGTTACTCAAGAGGCTGAGACTGGAGGACTGCTTGAGCCTAGGAGTTCAAAGCCAGCCTGGGCAACATAACGAGATACCCATTTCCCTTTAAAAAAAAAAAAAAAAAAAAAAAAAAACAAAAACGAGGGGAGGGGGGGCTTTGCATTACAATAACCAGACAAGGCCAGATAATTTTTTTTTTTTTTTGGCGCAGTGGCTCATGCCTGTAACCCTAGCATTTCGGGAGGCTGAGGCAGATGGATCACCTGAGGTCAGGAGTTCCAGACCAACCTGACCAACATGGCGAAACCCCGTCTCTACTAAAACTACAAAAATTAGCTGGGCGTGGTAGCACATGCCTGTAATCCCAGAATCGCTTGAACCCGGGAGGCGGAGGTTGTAGTGAGCCGAGATCGCACCACTGCACTCCAGCCTGCGTGATGCGAGCAAGACTCCATCTCAAAAGAAAAAAAATTTTTTGAAGCAAATATTTACAGAGAACCTATTACGTGCAAGATACAATGCTATGTACTAAACAGGCAACTGAGGAACTTACACTCATTCAGTAAAAGAAGTAAGGTTGGTACACAGCAATTTAAGGAAAAGTAAAACTAGGTTACAGGCCATTAAGAGGCACTAAAGAGTAAAGAAAGGAAGACTAGGATAAGCATTGGGAAAGCTTAATTTTCACAGTGGCTGTGACGACGCACAGTGAAAGTGGTGGAAATTTTAGGTATATGAAGAATAACCATCTTTAACTTAAGGATGCTAGAAATCACACAAATTTCACATTCCAAAAATCAGAATACAGGGGGATTTTCATTTCTTGAAATAGTGGGCTAGGTATTTGAGATCAATTATCCACCTCTGCACTAAATATGCCTGAAATTTGTTAAAAACAATTTTTTTTTTTTTTGAGATAGGGTCTTGTTCTGTCACACAGGCTGGAGTGCAGTGGCACGATCTCGGCTCATTGCAACCTCCACCTCCCAGGTTCAAGCGATTCTCCTGCCTCAGCCTCCTGAGTAACTGGGATTGCAGGCGCCCGCTACCATGCCTGGCTAATTTTTGTGTTTTTTAGTAGAGACAGGGTTTCACCATGTTGGCCAGGCTGGTCTCAAACTCCTGACTTCAAGTGATCTGCCCACCTCGGCCTCCCAGAGTGCTGGAATTACAAGTGTGAGCCACCGCGCCCGGCCAAAAATATTAATTCTTAAATAGAAAAGCTAACAAGATAGTAAAGAATTTGGACACAATCTAGAAGGTGAAAACCAGAAATTAAGCCCAATATTCAAAATAGATTTCATCCTGAGGATTTCTCTGACCTAAAAGCTAAAGTTTCAGTGCCTTTATGAGATAACAGAAACAAGTTCAAGCCAGGAGCCCATCCAGGAAGTGGAGTCTGACAACTACCTCCCTCTCCATCTTAATTTGGTATCCAAAAGAACTACAGCTTCAAAGTAAAGATGAACTGGGAAGTAAAATAGCAGGAATAATGGACAACAGAAACAGACTCTCCCAAAGGGAATTCAGACAGTGGAATTAAACATAGAGATTACAAAAACAACTATACTTTCCATGTTTAAAGAAATAAAATTAAGCCTCAAAATTAATAATAAGAAATAAGAAACTGTAAAACAGTGTCACAAACCAAACAGAACTTCAGAAACTAAAAAATGCAATATATGATTTAAGATTTCAGTGGCCGAGTTTAATAACAATGGAAATAACTTGAGAATAAAGAAATTATCCAGAATGTACTATGAAAGAACAGAGTAAAAGATATAGAGAAAAGAATGAAAAGGTTTAGTTAAATCAACAAAAAAGAGAGACAATGGGAAGAAGCAGTATATGCATATAAAATGGCTGAGAATTTTTACGGAACTAATGAAAGACACTAATCCACAGATTCAAGAAGTCTAATAAATACCAAACAAACTGAACAAAAACAAACCCATAGTTCCATACAGCATGGTGGAAATACAGAAAACCAAAGACAAATCTTTTTTTAAACTTGTCCATACTTCATTTTAGACAAAACAATCAACATTCTATAGTGAAGAATGAAACATAATATTTAAGAATGAAGACAAAGTATGTTCAAAAGGTTACTAATAGTGAACACGTTGAAAATGCTTAATTTAGCTGCCGTGAAGGCATAATTACACTATGACCCTGTACTTACATTGCACTTGTTACTTGATTTACCACATACGTGGTTTTCAATAGCTAAAACAGCAGCTTGACTCTAACCAAGCATCACGATTCTTGGAAGATGAAAGTGAAGACTGATAATCAACTAAATGGTTTTGACAAAATTATCCCTTTCTTATATTATGAAGCACTTCCCCACAGAGTAAGGACATGAAGACTTCAGTTGAGAAAGATAATCGGGCAGCCTATACTTTCAGACCCTTACAAATTGTTCGCAGGTTATCTAACTAAAGACTGTAAAAGCTGCTGTCGGCTCAATATTTTGTATCAAAAAGGAGTCTATCCACTGATTCCCTTCAAAGATTTCAGAAGGGTGCCTTCTATTTTATGGTGTCCCTGTGGACACATGAATATACCAAATAATTGAAGAATCGACAAATCTTATCTCACAAGTGGTAGGCAAGAGGTCATCGGGAATTCCGACCACCAGGCTCGCATGTGGCTTCTTGGGTCCCACTCCTGAACTAACCAGACTACCTGAGGGTGCGGGGGTCTGAGAGTCTGCATTTTAAAAGGGCCCCAGGAGATGTTGTTTTCCACTAACGTTTAAGAAGCACGACTACGAACAAACAGGTCTCCCCTTTTCCTCTGTGTGGACTATCACAAGGACCATCAACTCTCAAGCATGACGCTTCAACTCTCCGTCTTTGTTCCTTAAGTTTTCTGCAAAACGGGCCAGCTGGCTTGTTTTCCGTAATAGAAAATGCGCTTGGCACAGCAACTAGTACATGGCACACAATAAATGTGCTTCCCATCCTGCACTTCCATTCTGGGATGCAACCATTTCCAACCAGACGCCGCACATCGGAGTAACCTGGGCCTGTTCCAAGACCTCTGGAACGCAGCCTGCTACTCACTGGAAGCCTGGGTGGCCCTATTTAGCAGAAAAGTGGGGAAAACCCACTAAACGCCCGGCAGTGTTGGGCCCGCCTGAAAGGGTTCTCCCCCGCCACCCAGATGCCTTCCCGCGGGCACCCTCAGCTACCCTCAGGCTGGGCCTGCAAGCCCCAGGCTTCGGCTACTCCGGGCAAGGGGCGGGTGGGCGGACTGAGAACAGACCTGGCCCTATCCCTAACAGCAGCTACAGCTCCCCTTCTCTTCGGTAAAGAAGCTGGAACCCAGGTGTCGCCGCCAGGCCAGTACCGAGGCCGCACTCACCTACCGGCGCGCGGGAGGCGAGACGCCCTCACCTCGGCGGCGCCTACCCCAAACCGCCACCGCAGAGCCGCTCGCTCTTAAAAAAGAAAAACAAAAATGAGAGGAAGAAAGAAAGAAACAGGAAGGAACGAATGAAAGAAGAAAAAAAAAAAAAAGAAAATAGCCTTTGCTTTTGTATTCCTTTTGACCCTTCAGGGCTTCCTGTTCCTCACCGCCACAATAGAGTCCCGCCCCACTTCCGGCGACGTAACCCAATCCGCGGAGCTCTTCCTCCCCAGGAGCCCGATGGAAATCCGGTACCCTGAAAACTAACCGGAGAGACTTGATTGGGCTGTTCACGTCTCAGGATGAGGATTGGCCAGTTTACGCTTGGGGGGCGGGCCGGTTCCTCTGATCACGTGACACGATTTTTGAAAGGTGATTGGCTGTCAAGGAGAGGGAGTGCCACCGAGGAAGGGGTGTTTCCTAGGGGACTGAGGGAGGGCCGGGGCGGTACGAAGCGGGGGAGGGCCGTGCGCGTAATGGCAGCGCCGTGGCCTCGCGTCCATCTTTACCGTTTTCTCGGACCTGTCACAAAGGAGTCGCGCCGCCGCCCCCTCGCTCCGGTGGGCCCGGGAGCTAGAGAAAGTCAGTGCTGCAGCCCGACCGCGCTGCTCTGAGAAGCCCCTGGGCACGCGGAGCGGGAGGGAGTGTGAGGGTTGGAGGCGACTGTGAGGGAGGGAAACAGCCTCTCGAGCCTGGGGCGGGCGGACCGTACTGGAGCCGGGGCAGGCTCTGGGAAAGGGCCCGGGAGAGAGGTGGCGTTGCTCAGAAGCCGAGAAACAGGCGAGAGGTTTTCCACCGAGGCCCGCGCTTGAGGAATCCGAAGAGGTTCCTAGAAGAGGGTGTTCCCTCTTTCGGGGGTCCTCACCAGAAGAGGTTCTTGGGGGTCGCCCTTCTGAGGAGGCTGAGGCTAACAGGGCCCAGGTGAGAGGCAGCTCTCTATCTCCTGGGGTGGCTCCTGGTACTGAGGGGGTCCTATCTACTCAGGGGTGCCCGGGATAGAAAGGGTAGATGAGGGGACGCTTTGGGAGGGTTCCTTTTGTGGAGTTTGCGGTCTAGGTGGCACGGGTGGGAGGCGGACCTCCCCTGGGAGATTTAGAAACGCCTTGGGATAGAAAGAATGGGGCTGGGAGGTAGGAGCCAGAACTAGCGGATTCTCGTACTACGGAGGCCGGAGCTGAAAATTGGGTAAGGACCTTGGGGAGAGGGGGTTTTTGGGCGGTGATGGGAAGAGGACACCTCCATCCATAAGAAAGCCAGAGTGGGGAATAGTGAAAGGGAAACGGGAATTCATCGACCAGGTGTCCTAGACACAGGATCCAACTGCTTCCGGGCTTAGTGCCCGAGTAGGGTGGGGAGAGTCCATCCCACCAACACCCCCTGCGTGAGTCCAAATTAGGCATTTGTCTCTGTCTGCTGCCTCACTTTCCCCGTCTTTGGGGAGGGAAACCGACCGAGACCGAGACGGTCAGCTGAGACTTCGAGGTCCTGTCTTGTACCGTTCTCTCAGTGAGGTTGCTCCCCTTGGAGTGTTGCACTTTGAACTTTGAAGGGTTAGAAATGTCTATTATTGACTGAGTAGAATCCCGCAGTTTTCCAGGCCCTTCACCTACCATCTGTTTGTGCTTAGTGGAGTGACTTAACCTCCTTAAGTCTCTTCTATAAAATAACCAGCGCAGTGTGTGAAAGTAGAAACTACAAGCTGCGTGAACGTAAGTTACTGTGATTCTACCACCAAACGGGTTGCTGTTGAGGAATAAAAGTGAAGGGACTTTATAAATTGTAAAGCAGTATGTAGAGGTAAGGGGTGAGATTAATACAGTAGTTGTCTGCCACCTGCGGAGTCCTGGGAGCCATATTGTACTGCAAGCTTCAAGGTTCACAGCTTAGGTCATATTATGATCTAAACCCATGGTTTCAAACCCTGCTTAGATGGGGATGGTGGGATTTCCAGCTTTTGCTCTCAGAATTTTTACTTACTTTGAACTTCTTATGGTGCTGGCAGTAGTTACCACTGTAATATCTTTTCCTTCAGGATTTTTTTCCCCCTGACAGCTGAAATTTTCCTCTAAGTAATTTGATCTCAACATTATAAACCTCTTCCCCCTTTTGCATATATATATATAGAGAGAGAGAGGCATGGCTTTTGGATGTCTACAGCTAGTGAATATCATGCTTTCTCCCTCAGTTGTGATTTGTAAAGACTGCCTTTTTTCCTCCACGAATACTATGCGTTGTTGTGGTAGCCCCAGACTGTAGATTATGAGGCACGTTGGAAGTTGCTTTTAAATTTCTCTTGCACAGTAGTTCTCTTTATTTTTCCCCTTATGTAGGGTTTGCATTTCCTGGGATGGTATCTTGCTTTGTAGATCCCTCTATGAGATTATAAGAGACTTGTGTCCCTGTGTGACATTTTACTAGTGTTTGGTTCGTGGTACTTGTTAAAGATGGTTTTTCAAATATTGGGCAATTTATGTGGGATTTAGTTTTTTTTGTTTTGTTTTGTTTTTTGTTTTTTTGTTTTTTGAGACTGAGTTTCACTCTTGTTGCCCAGGCTGGAGTGCAATGGCGTGATCTCGGCTCACCGCAACCTCCACCTCCAGGGTTCAAGCAATTCTCCTGCCTCAGCCTCCCAAGTAACTGGAATTATGGGCAAGCACCACTGTGCCCGGCTAATTTTTGTATTTTTAGTAGAGAGGGAGTTTCACGGTGTTGGTCAGGCTTTTCTTGAACTCCTGAGCTCAAAGTGGGCTGCCCATCTTGGCCTCCCAAAGTGCTGGGATTTAGAGGCATGAGCCACCGTGCCCAGCCCTCAATGATTATTTTTAAGTTATTGATTATAGGAGGTATTCTAGCATACTCTATGTGGGCTTCTGCTTTTTTCAGCAAAATAACTTTTCATTTAGCAAGTATCGAAGAGAAATAAAAACAGCATTTTGTATAATAGTGTGTTAATCTATAGTGAATCAGGTAAAAACAGCAAATCTGAGTTATGTAGCTCTATGGGGCCTGGAGGCAAAAAAAAAAAAAAAGTATGTTTTAGCAAGAGTTTAACAAACAATTGTTCTGTATTTCTTTTTTTCTGTTTTTTCTTTTTATTTTTTTTTTTGAGACAGGGTCTCATACTGTCTCTCAGGCTGGAGTGCAGTGGTGCAATCGTGGCTCACAGCAGCCTCTACCTCCCAGGCTCAGGTGATCCTGCCACCCCAGCCTCCCAAGTAGCTGGGACTACAGGTGTGAGCCACCACACCTGACTAATTTTTGCACTTTTTTTAGACACGGTTACACCATGTTGCCCAGGCTGGTCTCAAACTCCTGGGCTCAAGCCATCCACCTACCTTGGTATCCCAAGGTGCTAGGATTACAGGTATGAGCCACCATGCCTAGCCTCATGAGCTTAATTTAGTCTATCGAGAATTGTATATACTTTCCTTAACAATGAAGTAATTTGTTATAATGAAGTGGGAAATCGCTTTGCATCTTTTTAAATCCAGCTTTCTTTCACACTCTTTATAGTTTGGAGAAAATGTTAGGAATTCTTGAGGATAGTAATCACTGTTACACTACTTAAGATTGGAAGTTATGGCTGGGCATGGTGGCTCACATCTATAATCCCAACACTTTGGGAGGCCAAGGTGGGAGGATCACTTGAGCCCAGGAGTTCAAGACCAGCCTGGGCAACATGGCAAAACCCCATCTCTACAAAAAAAATACAAAAATTAACCCAGCGTGTTAGCACATACAGATAGTCCCAGCTACTTGGGAGGCTGAGGTGGCAGGATCTCTTGAGCCTGCGAGGTTGAAGCTGCACTGAGCCACTACACTCCACCCTGGGTGACAGAGCAACACCCTGTCTCAAATAAATAAATAGGAAATGTTCTGTATTTTTGAGTAGGATACTTGTAAAGTAGGGTGTGATAGTCTCAGGATTGCAAAATAAGTGGAAAGTCAATAGTCACCACAAATGGGAAACACAGGGGAACAAGCAATCAATTTCAAAAGAATTATTTGGGGATAATAAACTATGGATATAGCTTCTCTTCAAGCTTTTGGCATTTTCAAGGCAGTTATCATTGAATTTTTTTCCCCTGGTATTCAAATTAGAAAATTGAAAAACAGAATAATCACGAAGTAGTAAATGCCATAACTTGGGCCACAACCTTTTGGAGGGGACTTTTACAACTTTTAGAAGTGCGAAGGAGTGAATATTTCCCTTTGATTTATCATTCAGTAAGTCAGCTTTTGAAATCCTTTTCTTGCCAACCTTTGTGAGTAGAAAAAACATACAAATGTGTCCATTCCAAAAGGGAGTGGTTACTGGTTAAGTATGTAAAAACAGTAACTTTAGATAAATGTGTGATATATACAAGGTTAAATCAGGAAAAGTTATGTTACAAATAGTGGTGGCCTCTTAGAGAACATTCCACTTTGTTTCTAAGCTTTTGAAAACTGAGAATACATTTGAAATAGTAAGGAATTTATATACTCCTTAAATTTGTTAAGGAATGAACTCTGCACATAGCTTGAAAGTATAGTTTCCAGGGATAATTTCATGGGTCCTATATACCTCAAATAGAAGGTTTGAAGTACCTTACTCAGCAAGTATGTTACCTCATAGTTTAATGTTCAGTGTTAGTTTTTTCTTACCCCTTTACCTCCTGAAGAATTGTTTTCACTCCTGTGTTCCCTTAATGCAGTGATTCTCAAGATGTGGTTCCTGCCCAATCCCTCCACATGGGAAATATAGCTCCTTTTTTTTTCTTTTTTAGGTTCTTATTGCTTCATAGTTGTTCATACTTAGGTATGCCTAAGGGCTACTTATTAATAACCTATCAAGTAAATTACTAAAGATTACTAAAACTTGGTATTCATAACCTAAAACTAGAACAATATTGGAGTTTACTGTGGTCTCTTAATACTTTTTTCACCCAGGAAGTCTGTCCTGGGAAACCTGGTACCAGTGCAAGCTTCTCACATGTCATATGCAGAATGGGTATTCCTGCAGTATTCAGGAAGCGTGCTTAGTTTGGGGTGCATCATCTGTATTGTCTCAAAATTATCTTGGTTTTCATCATGATTCCTCTTTTTTTAATTAGACTTTTTATTTAGCTTCATCTTTATCAATTTAATTTATAGGTTTTTGGTTAACTTTTCACTCTGTGGGCGAGGATATTTATACCAACAATATTTTGGCTTATAATGTAAGATATAAATATGTTACAATGCAAAGATAGATTCTCTATTCCCCTTTTGCTATTGCTGATTTGTATAGTCACCTAAAAACTTGCTCACACAGAGATACTTCAGTGTTACCAAAGTTCCCTTTTCCACTGGAAAACTGATGGAATGAGAGGCCTCCTTCTAGTAGATGCTTTATCTATAGGCTTTGGGTAGGGAGCTAAGTTTGTCCCTAACCCCAGCTCCCTTTGTCAGGAGCATGAAGGACCTTTTTCCATCTTTCCTCACTGCCCGCCATATAAGCATTGGATATGTATTTATTAAATGGTGTTGTCTCAGTTTTTCCAAATGGTAAATATTTTGGAGAGACTTTATGTTTTTACAGATTTTAGAATACACCTAAGATATTTGTTGAATATGTATTAGGGTCTAATAAGTATCCAAATGAGTTTGCAGTATGAGTGTTTTAGACATCATTTAAAGTAGACATCATTAAGGAAAATGTTGATATTCATACTGCTTACATATTTTATTTGCTTTTCTTAACAGCAAAGAGTTTTCTATAATAGAAAAATCCTTTTCCTTCAGATTTGTGTATATTTGAATAACATATGATCTCCTATTATTTGGCCTTCTTGAGGGAAAACCACAAGCACTATGGAATATTACATTTGTTTTTCTCCCCTGTACTGCAGCTGTCATAAGCACTCACGTCAATTCTTCCTTAGTATTTTTTGGAGGTCTAAGGCAAATTTTTCAATCCTTAAGACTTCGGGCAGGGATTATTTACTTCCTCTTTTTTGCTATTATTTGCTTCCGGAAATTCCTTACTCTATCTTAGGCCTAAATTTTATTTTTTAATAAATTCTTTGAATGCTGAAGGGATTTGTCTTTTTCTCCTTTGTACTGTTTTAGGTCAGAACTAAATTCTGTAATTCTTTCTGACCACAGATGCACTCCTTCTAGGTTAAAAAAGCTCTCAACATTTTAGATGAAGGTTTTTTCCAGATACTTTTTTTTTTTTTTTTAAGATCTCTGTCTCCTAGGCTGAAGTGCAGTGGTGCAATCATGGTTTACTGCAGCCTCGACCTTCCCAGCTCAGGCGATCTTCCCACCTCCCCACTCCCACCGCCCTTCCCAGTAGCTGGACTACAGGGTCCAATCCGCCATGCTGGCTAATTTGTGTATTTTTTGTAGAAACAGGGTTTCACCATGTTGCCCAGGCTGGTCTCAAATTCCTGAGCTCAAGCTGTTTGCCTGCCTTGGCCTCCCAGAGTGTTGGGATTACAGGTGTGAGCCACCAAGCCCTGCCCAGATATTCTTTCAACCAGAAAAAATATCTACTTTCAACGGCATGCTTTCTTAAATATCTTCAGTGCATAAGGGAAGTGTCAGAATCATCCAGTGCTTTTCCCAAACTTCTTGACGGTTACAATTCAGGGGATAATGGTACCCTGTGTGACTTAAACCTCCAGATAAATAGCTTTGGACATCTGGGAGACATGTAAAAACACCTTATCAAGGCAACCTTTCTTTTGGGGGGAAAAGTAAAATTCCAACCAAATATTTCATAATCTACCCCCTTCTTACCTTCCCCAACAAAATACCAGAGGCTTTAGAGTCTAAAGACAGAAACACTCTTGTTGAAACATCTTTAGGTAGTTTGTGTTTCAGCTGGCAAGTGTAATCTTCTTGCATTACCAAATCAGTATTGTTGACTTCAGAGTTTTCCCCATGTAAACACAATCTTCAGTAAGAAGATTGTGGTCTTTGGGGTGTTCTGCAGGCTTTTTTTGTTGTTGTTGTTGTTTGAGACAGAGTCTTACTCTGTCACTCAGGCTTGAGGGCAGTGGGATGATCTCGGCTTGCTGCAACCTCCACCTTCTGGGTTCAAGTGATGTTCCCACCTCAGCCTCCCAAGTAGCTGGAATTACAGGCGCACACCACTGTGCCTAGCTAATTTTTGTATTTTTTAAAGCAAATATGTTTCTAGATAATGTTCTCTATCTTGATAGGGTTTGAGTCACAGGTGTATGCATTTGATAAAACTCAGCACATTACTGTGCTTAAGATTTGCACATTTCTGCCGGTGTGGTGGCTCACACCTGTAATTCCAGCACTTTGGGAGGCCGAGGCAGACAGATCACCTGAGGTCAGGAGTTTGAGACCAGCCTGGGCCACCTGGTTAAACCCCATCTCTACTGAAAATACAAAAAAGCCGGGTGTGGTGGCATGTGCCTATAATCTCAGCCACTCGGGAGGCTGAGGTAGGAGAATTGCTGGAACCCGGGAGACAGAGGTTGTGGTAAACCGGATCACACCACTGCACTCCAGCCAGGGCAACAGAATGAGACTCCGTCTCAAAAAAAAGAAAAAAAAAAAGATTTGCACTTTTCAGTGTGTGTAAGTTTGATTCCTAAAAACTTGAAGTTTATTGAAGTCTAATTAGTGGTGTGCATGCTGAATTATTTAAGAGAAAGTATACTGATGCCTATAGTTTACTTTGAAATATGTTAAAAAAAAAAAAACTATGGATTGATGGTTATAGAGATGGGTAGTGATAAAGCAAGGGTAGTAAAATGTTAGCAGTAGAAGCTAGGTGGTGGGTATATGGTTCACATTTTACAGTGAACTCTAATTCAATTTTCTGTATGTTTGGAAAATTTCATAATAAAATATTGGGAGTAGGGGGTAAATGTGATGATAGAAGCTATCGCTTTAACACACTTAGGGAAAAATCCGAAAACATTTTCTAATGAGAGGACATCATTAAAATTTTCAGGATGTTACACATTTTGCTATTCATGCTATTTGACTTAGCCTTTGCGGGGGAGAGTTGGAAAAAAATGTCGCATCCTCTAACACTATTTTGGAATGACAAGGTGAAGATTATAACAATAGTAATTTAGTGCCCAAAGTCTGGTTTTTCTTCTTTATGGTCACTCTTTTAATCAGCTTTTCTTCCTTGGCAGTGTAATTCTGCAGTCCTATTTTCAAAGAAAAGAAAGTGTTCTTTCTCACTGATCTGTACTATGGCTGAATGCAAGCAAATATTTGAAGAGATGAATCATTGATTCCTGGACCATTTGTCAGAGAGGGTTAGACCAGTTGGCCAGATGTCTCCATGGTGAGTTGTTCATGATGGTAGAGGTCTGTGTTTTATAGACAGTGAGTACCAGAACCTTACTGCTTTAACACCAAACTTACCAACACCCTAAGTTTGATTATTTTTCGTCTCAGAGCAGCTTTAAAAAAAATATAAAGTGTTAGGTGCTTCATTTGCCCCCAAGAAAAAAGAAAAACCATGTAAAATGTAAAAATCTAATAAATAATATAGAAATGGAGGGAATAGTCTTTAGTTTCTTTTTTAAAAAGGCAAGAATCAAAATTAATAATACCACACTTCAGAGAAATAGATTTGCAAAGGAAATATTTGATCATAGTGGTGCTTTTGCAGCAAAATTGTTATCAAGAGTGTATTAGGCTGGGCATGGTGGCTCACACCTATAATCCCAGCACTTTGGGAAGCCAAGGTGGGCAGATCACCTGAGATCAGGAGTTCAAGACCAGCCTGGTAAACATGGTGAAACCCCATCTCTACTAAATACATAAAAATTAGCTGGGCGTGGTGGCAGGCACCTGTAATCCCAGCTATTTGGGTGGCTGAGGCAGGAGAATCGCTTGAACCGGGGAGATGGAGGTTGCAGTGAGCCAAGATCACACCATTGCACTCCAGTCTGGGCAATGAGAGTGGAACTCTGTCTGAAAAAATAAAATAAAAATTAAAAAAGAGTATAATGATATTAAAAGTATTGCCATTTAGGTGGTGAGAAGAGTCTTTCTACTAAGCACTGGCATCCAGTGATAAAAATTATTAAATCAGTTGATTGCCACAGATGTGTATTTAAATTCTGTGACTAGCTTTTTTTTGGTCTCAAAGTTGACTTCACCAGCTAATGTTGTCTTTGAAGTTAAGGTAAAGAATATAGGTATTGGCCAGGCACGGTGGTTCATGCCTGTAATCCCAGCACTTTGGGAGACTGAGGTGGGTGAATCACAAGGTCAGGAGTTCAAGACCAGCCTGGCCAACATATTGAAACCCCGTCTTTACTAAAAATACAAAAAAATTAGCTGGGCATGGTGGCACGCGCCTATAGTCCCGGCTACTCAGGAGGCTGAGGCAGGCGAATCGCTTGAACCCAGGAGATGGAGGTTGTAGTGAGCCGAGATCATACCACTGGACTCCATCCTGGTAAAAGAATGAGACTTCATCTCAAAAAAAAAAAAAAAAAAATATATATATATATATATATGTATTACAGATGTGTTGTCTTTATATAATCTCATCTTATTCATTTTCTATTCCATTCAGTCTCTTAACCTTGGATGATATTACCCTTAAGCAGCATATCATTTAGGTTCATTTTGATGCTTCATAGGAAAATATATGGAGCCGTTTTTTTCTTTGTGTTAATATGTACTGTACATGTCACTTATGGATATAACTCTTCTAATGGCTTTTTAGGCTGACCTCTCCAAAGGACTGCATTCAAAGATAGTCTCAGTTCATTTTACTGGACAAGGAAATTAACATTTTTGACTCGAGAAGAATCGCCGTTTAGTATTTCAGGTTGCCCCCTAATTCAGTCAGTGGGTCCTTCCTGCTGTGCTAGGTTCTGTGGTAGGTTCTATACACAGTGATTTCTAAATGTGGCTGCCATCAGAGTCACTTGGGGACCTTTTAAGAAAACACAAGCTTGAGCCGGCATCCTAGAAATTCTGATTCTGGGTATTTGTAGTGGGACCAGGGATTTGCATTTTAGTAAGTACCCTAAGTGATTCTAATGCCACCTATGAGGTGATTAAGCTACAATCCCTTCCAAGATTTTCTGTCCAAAAATATAGGTAAGTATAGGTTATAGGTAAGTAAAAATTAGTTCAGTATGGGGTAGTTCTGTAAAAGTTTTCTTAGTGCTTTTAACTCAAGTTTTACTCCAGAATCCCCCTCCCCCAGGTTGTTTAGTTATTTCTGATTAGATATGTGCTCATTTTATAGCATCTTGCATTTTTTGATCCAGTTTAAGTGTTAGACACTGTGCCATGTGTATTACATGCATTATTTTGTTTAATTCCCACAGTGGTACTTTGAGATAAGAACTATTACTGTCTCTGTTTTTTAACATGTGTCAAGAGTCAGGTTAATTAGGATGCATGTCAGTAAATATTGCAGGGCTGGGACTTTCACCTAGTCTGACAACAGAGTGTGTACTGTGCTATGGTGGCCTTTCGTATTGTGTGTAAAATCTGTCAGCTGAGTTTTATTGTCTTAAAACAGTGGTCCTTGGAAAGTGGGCCATATAAAGCTTTTTCTGAATGGATAAAACAAAGTTGTCTAAAGTGTAATTGATTAGCTTTCACCCAGTCTTTTGCCTACAGTCCATCACTTCTCTGTAAAAAAAAAAAAAAATACCGTGAATGACAACCATTTCCGATTGAAAACCTATAGATTTTTAGTGCCAAATAAATCTGAAAGATCATATACTTGTTCATTTATGTGCCCTGTCTGTGGCTGTAGCCCTCAAGAGTACTCTGTGTAGTCATCTCAAAAAGTATTTAGAGGTAGTAGCTCTTGTTTTGTCCTTGTATGTTTCATAGGCTTGCCTTTATGAAATGCCTTACAGCTTCATCCACCTAGTTAACCTCTTCTTTACACTTGGTTTTCACAGCTGGTCCTTTTTATTTAACAAAAAAAAAAAGTCTTTGGCTTTAAAGTATTTAAAGTTTTTTTTAAAGCCTCATTTTCTTCTCTGACAAATTTTATAGTTGACATTTTCTAAGTCATTTAAGGTAAATTGCTCTTTTGGAAGAAACTGACTCAAAACACACTTTAGTTCAATTTGGAAAAAAAAAACTTAATTTTTGTCTTGCCTTCATATTTAGTCAGTTTTTGTTTTTTGTTTTTTGTTTTTTCAAAGACAGAGTCTGGCTCTGTCACATAGGCTGGAATGCAATGACACCATCAGGGCTCACTGCAGCCTCAACCTCCCAGGCTCAAGTGATCTTCCCACCTCAACCTCCTGAGTATCTGAGACCACAGGTGTGCACTACCACGCCCAGCTAATTTTTTAATTTTTTCTGTAGAAATGGGGTCTTGCTGCATTACCCAACCTGCTCTCAATCTCCTGGGCTCAAGCAGCCCTCCCAACTCAGCCTCCCAAAGTGCTGGGATTGTAGGCATGAGCCACCATGCCCAGCCTATCAGATTTATTCAGATTTTTAAAAATATCTGCATGTATTGGATATCTTCCAATCACCTTAAAATTGTACTAAATGGGCTGGGCACGGTGGCTCATGCCTGTAATCCCAGCACTTTGGGAGGCCAAGGCAGGCGGATCATGAGGTCAGGAGATGGAGACCATCCTGGCTAACAAGGTGAAACCCTGTCTCTCCTAAAAATACAAAAAATTAGCCGGGCCTGGTGGCAGGTGCCTGTAGTCCCAGCTACTCAGGAGGCTGAGGCAGGAGAATGGCATGAACCCGGGAGCCAAGATCGCCCCACTGCACTCCAGCCTGGGCGACAGAACGAGACTCTGTCTCAAAAAGAAAAAATTGTACTAAATGGAAATCTGCGTAGATTATTCTGTATTCAGTGTATAAAAACCTTAGGAAAAAAATGATAAAATTAAGAATTTAAGATCCAACAAACCTCTTTTTAACTTCTTTCCTCACAGGCACCCCCAAGATGGTTTCTTGTTAATTATTCTAAATACCTTTATGTGTTGGCATTAAGTTGTAACTTTTTAGGATCCACTATTCTTTTTGCTTTTTTCCCCCCCTGAAATTACTGAGCTTCAGCAAGATCCCTGTTCTCTCCCCTTCAGGGCTTTGTTTTCTGGAACTCGACATTCTCAAATCATTGCCAATTATTTTTAGTATGTGATTAGCCTCCCTTCCTCAGGTATGTTTTCCCCAATTTGGATTGAATCTACTGTTTGAATCTTGTTTCCCATCCTACCTTCATACAGATTGTGTGGAAAGGCTGTGGGATATTAGAGAAGCCAGTGGAGTTCCCCTCTGCTGTGGCAATGTTGACACCACAGAGCACAGTCCTAGGACCCTTACCACTGTGAGGAAGGAGTTTGGAGTTAGCACTTCCCCAGGGGATGACGCATTCCGCAGAAGAGGCCCCATGTCTCTAATCCTGGACTACTCCCTTCTACCATCCCCAAAATGTTAGTTGGGTTAGCCACAAGTTTTTTATAGCATAGTGGTCAAGAAACTATGATAATCCAGAGTATGAATTTCTATACAACCTTTAAATGCATGAGGTAGTTATATATATAGTGATATAGAAGATTGTGGTATTAAAAAGAGCAAATCATAGAACAGTATTTATGGCTTCATTCTAGTTAGATTTAAAGAAAAAGCAGCCAGGCGCGGTGGTTCATGCCTGTAATCCCAGCACTTTGGTAGGCTGAGGCGGGCGGATCACGAGGTCAGGAGTTTGAGACTAGCCTGACCAACATGGTGAAACCCTATCTCTACTGAAAATACAAAATTAGTCAGGCATGGTGGTGTGCACCTGTAATCCCATGTACTCAGGAGGCTGAGGCAGGAAAATCACTTGAACCTGGGAGGGAGAGGTTGAGTGAGCCGAGATCACACCATTGCACTCCAGCCTGGGCGACAGAGTGAGACTCCATCTCAAAAAAAAAAAAAGAAAAAAGAAAAGAAAAAGCTAGTTTATAAGTATATAGTAACGGATGTGGGAGCAAACATATGAAGCTTTTAAGAGGTTATTTCTGGGAAAAGCATGGGCTAGGTAGAGCAGAAGAGGAACTTTCATATTCCATAGGCCTGTGTAGCATTTAGGTTTTAGAAATGAATGTGTATATTTTTAAGTTTCTAGATAAATATATTTTTAAATAAGATACTTTATGATTTCAAATAAATACTCTAGTGGCACAATCATCTGAGCTACTGCCCAAAGCCACACCTGTCCGAAAACCTTGCATTGTTTACCTCTTTTCACCTGAAATATTCTTTTTTTTTTTTTTTTTTTGAGACGGAGTCTTGCTCTGTCACCCAGGCTGGAATGCAGTGGCCGGATCTCAGCTCACTGCAAGCTCCTCCTCTCGGGTTCACGCCATTCTCCTGCCTCAGCCTCCCGAGTAGCTGGGACTACAGGCGCCCGCCACCTCGCCCGGCTAGTTTTTTGTATTTTTTAGTAGAGACGGGGTTTCACCGTGTTAGCCAGGATGGTCTCGATCTCCTGACCTCGTGATCCGCTCGTCTCGGCCTCCCAAAGTGCTGGGATTACAGGCTTGAGCCACCGCGCCCGGCCTCACCTGAAATATTCTAACAGCACCTTATCAGTGAAATTTCTGTGAGAGGACCCAGAGCATAGCTTCTTAAATGTTGCTTTTTCATCTTTCTCACAAACCAGCATAATTTATAAGATCTGTAGAAATTCATTCCAGGGACCCTTTAAAGAGTTATTCCTATTTCTGATTTCTGTTTCCTCTATTCTTTTAAGCATTGAAATCTCGTAGTTATCTACCCTCTAAAGCGAATCATACTCTGATCCGCACAGTAATGGCAATGTTATTACTTCGACTCTGCTGGTTTAGAATGTGTTCTTTTAAAAAGTTATTTCCAACTGGTCCTTGCATCATGCTCCTACATATATACTTCAGTCACATCCTTTTCAGTACAACCTCCAAATTTTGAAGACAGCCCAAGTGGTTTGGGGAAACCAAGAACATCTGTGGTATCACTTGGCCCAGCCATTGCTGTCTTAATAGCAAAAAATCTGTTGCCTCTCATTTCTTTTCTCTCCCCTTTTCTTTCTCCTCTCTTGTTCCATCCCATTCCATTCTTCTTTCTCCCTTCCCTTTGCCTCTTCCCTCTTTATGTATATTTTATTACATATGATTATATATACATATATATATAAAGACTTTCTGTCTCCATTTATCTCTTTTTCTTCTATGTTTCCCCTGTAGCAGTAATCAAACTGGGAAAATAATAAAAAGAATTTGCCATGAATCTGTCTAAAATAATGGAAGTAGGCTGGGCACAGTGGCTCACACCTGTAATCCCAGCACTTTGGGAGGTCGAGGTGGGCAGATAACCTGAGGTCAGGAGTTTGTGGCCAACATGGTGAAACCCCATCTCTACTAAAAATATAAAAACTTGCCAGGTGTGGTGGCAGCACCTGTAGTCCCAGTTACTCGAGAGGCTGAGGTAGGAGAATTGCTTGAACCCGGGAGGTGGAGGTTGCAGTGAGCTGAGATCAAGCAACTGCACTCCAGCCTGGGTGATAGAGCGAGACTCCTCAAAAATGAGTAAGTAAATACATAAAATAATGGAAGTAATATTTCTCTCCTAATTCCACTGAATTATAAATTTTGTTTATATTATTCCTGGCCAGTGCTTAGGGTATGAGGAATTAATTGTAACTAGCCAAATATTGTATAGAGACTACATACTAGCATGGTCTATTCCTTATGTGGCCTGTTCTCCAGATGTCAGCCTGTTTGTTTGTTTTTTGTTTTTTTTTTTTTACTTTTTGCTACCAGCCCATGTAAGTCTCCTGTTTCTAAATCTTTACTTCCTTCCAGAATCTAACCAGATTTTATCAGCTTCATGAAGAACTGGTTCTTTCATTAGGTTTTTTGATGGTAAACATACTGTATGGGATGAGAATGGCCATCCATGAATTCCTGGAGGGCAGGAACTATTCCTTATTCATCTTTATTCTCCTAGTCCAGCGTGGTACCTGGCACAAGGCGCTTAGTCAGTATTTTCAGGCAAAGAAATTGGTGGATCTTATTCTGAACTTTGTAACGGACATATGCAACAAACTGATCTTTGTGAAAATACAACTTTTGTGATATCAATTTGCCTTTCCCAAAACAAAGCCTTGCTTACATAACAGAAACACTTTGTAACAACTTTATGAATTCCGTCAATTCTGGAATGAGCTTCCAATGGGGAACTCTATCCTTTTATTCTCCTTGATATCAAATGGTGCTATCATATTTGTATCATAAAACTTGTTAAATTATCCTGTGGGTTTAAAGCAAGGAGACAATTCATTTTTTTAAAGATTTTTCTCTTTTTAACACCTATCTCTTACACAGAAAGACAACTGATTTTTTTATGATAAAACGAGCCCTTGAAAAAAAAAACGCACACATCCTTCTAATGTATTTCTGTATACCTAGAAAAAACTATACATGTGGTTTTAAAAAAATCAATGATAACTCCTCTGGTCTATAAGAGTATGGTTTGACAATCAACTTTGTAATAGAATGATAAAAAGAAATTATTGATTGATTGCTAATTCTGTTATCCAAAGCTGTCTTTTGGTATTGGAAACCCATAAAAATAACCAAAGATGACTCTTCATTAGAATCCTCCTAATACCTATAAAATCACACTAAGAAAGTTTGAGTAATTAAGTGGTGAAGAATATTCTATTCATTTTCCTTTTTCTCATTTTCTTTTAGAACTGCTATTGGATGACCAGAATTCCCTGTAGTTGATAATGTTGGGAATAAGCTCTGCAACTTTCTTTGGCCTTCAGTTGTTAAAAACAAATAGGATGCAAATTCCTCAACTCCAGATTATGAAAACAGTACTTGGAAAACTGAAAACTACCTAAATGATCGTCTTTGGTTGGGCCGTGTTCTTAGCGAGCAGAAGCCTTGGCCAGGGTGTGCTGTTGACTCTCGAAGAGCACATAGCCCACTTCCTAGGAACTAGAGGTTCCACTGCTACCATGGGTAATTCCTGTATCTGCCGAGATGACAGTGGAACAGATGACAGTGTCGACACCCAGCAGCAACAGGCCGAGAACAGTGCAGTACCCACTGCTGACACAAGGAGCCAACCACGGGACCCTGTTCGGCCACCGAGGAGGGGCCGAGGACCACATGAGCCAAGGAGAAAGAAACAAAATGTGGATGGGCTAGTGTTGGACACACTGGCGGTAATACGGACTCTTGTAGATAAGTAAGTATCTGACTCACAGTCACCTCCAGTGGAATGAAAAGTGTTCTGCCAGGAACCATGACTTTAGGACTCCTTCAGTTCCTTTAGGACATACTCGCCAAGCCTTGTGCTCACAGGGCAAAGGAGAATATTTTAATTCTCCTCTGATGGCAGAGTAAATGAGATTTGATGTTTTTGCTTGCTGTCATCTACTCTGTCTGGAAATGTCTAAATGTTTCTGTAGCAGAAAACACTAATTAAAGCTATGATCTTTATTAGACAATACAATAAATATGGAGTGAGTTTATGTTGCTAGCTACAACAGGAAATGGTTTCATGTAGGCTCACTGTTAATGGTACATGCCTGTCTATTCTACTGACCTCAGATTCAAGATAAGCTGTTTTACCGAGAACATGGCTACAGGCAACTTCTCTTGGCAACATAAGGACCAAGGTCAAGGAGAGTTTTCATTATCGTTTATTTGATCCTTTATTTATCCCTTATTTGACTATCTTTAATCCATTTAGGAAGCTTGTCAGTTTGCAAGGCACACCTATACCTGTTTTGTCTTTTCCTCTGCTTTGTCTACCTCTAAATACAAAATCCCAGATTGAGTAACAATGAAATTAAAGGGCATCATTCAAGTGGAAAAAAACATTTAACTTAAAGTTGTATAGTTCAGTAGTTAAGAGCACAAAGCTTAGAACCATGATGGGCCTGGCTCAACTGCATGACATTGGGTAAGTTACTTCTTGAAGCCTCAGATTCCTCATCTGTAAATGGGGACATAATACTGTTCCCACAAAGATTATCATGAGATAATGTACATAAGGCATTTAGTGTGGAGCTTTGTACTTAACAGTTGCTCAGTAGATGGTAGTATTTTGTATTTTTTAAAAAGTTACTTAGGTGTTCTTTTTGCTTCAGGCCCTGCTAGTAAATTTAAGTATATAAACATTTGATAATCACGTTTATAGAAACCTAGTTTCGTTTAGTTCCTCAAAAATTAAGCATAAAACAGAGTGTATCTGTGAATACAAATGCATTTTTAGAGCTGTATTAAACTTTTCCATAAAATACTGGAGCATTTGTTAGTCTTCTAGAAGAGTAATTTTTTGGCCAGACACAATGCCTCCTACCTCTAATCCCAACACTTTGAGAGGCTGAGGTAGAAAGATAGCTGGAGGCCAGGAGTTCAAGACCAGCCTGGGCAACATAGGGAGACCCCCATCTCTACAAAAAAATTTAAAAATTATCCAGGTACAGTGGCGCGTGCCTGTGGTCCCAGCTACTCAGGACTCTAAGACCAGAGTACCGCTAGTGTCCAGGAGTTTCCAGCTGCAGTGAGCTATGATCACACCACTGCACTCCAGCCTGGGCAATAGAGCAAGACCCTGCCTCAAAAATTAATTTAAAAAAATTTTTTAAATCTCTTTTACCAAATTGTAATAAAAGTTTTCCTTCCCAAATCAGGAAGTAAACCACAAGCAAAGTTAATTTAAGCTCATTGGAAAAATGGGTGCAGAATAAACTTGGAGAGAGTGAGTTTTTTTGTTTTGTTTTGTTTTGTTTTTAAAGAGACAGGGTCTTACTCTGTCACCCAGGCTGGGGTACAGTGGCATGATCATGACTGTCTGCAGCCTCAGCCTCCCAGACTCAAACAGTCATCCCACCTCAGCCTCCTAAGTAGCTTGGACTACAGGTATGTGCTACTGCACCTGGCTAATTTTTTTTAAAGTTTTTGTAGAGCCAGGTCTTGCCATGTTGCCCAGGCTGGTCTCAGATACCTGGACTCAAGCGATCATCCAGCTTCAGCCTCCCAAAGTGCTGGGATTGCAGATGTGGGCCCCCATGCTTGGCCCCTTGCAATGTTTTAAAAGACAGTAATGTAGTTATACAAACCTCTTTGTTTTTAACTTCTTTCAACATTGAAATCTATCTTGCTGTATATAAATCTACAACTGCTTCTGACTATTACAGAGTATTCCCTTGTATGCCTGAAAGTATTATATTTTGTTACATTTTCATTTGGTGGTGGTCATTTAGGTTACTGCCAAATTTTTGTTCCTACAAATAGCACTGGAGTGAACAGCACAAATATGCATCAGTTTTTGGACCTGTGTAAAAATTTATCTAGAAGTGTTGGATATATGCATACTTAATTTTGTTATTGCCAGATCATTCTTCAGAAATGTTTGCATCAGTCAATTATATTGTTTAAACAGGCAGCACCTAGTGAGTACCTGAAATTACCATACTAATTCCCATATTACGAGGTTATTCTCAGGATTAAATGACTTAAGATGATAGTTTTTTAGGCTTTTTTTTTTTTTTCCCACAGTAAAACAGAGACCCACAATATGTAAACAAATAAGTGGTGAGTTCTTAAGCAGTTAGAATTGTTTAATGGAAAACATTTCATTATTGAAGTTCCCCCGAAGGACTTTTTAAAGATTTCTGGGATCACACCACTGAATTAAGGTGTAGAATGCCACTTTGGATCAATGTCTAGAATGTTAAATAGCTCCTTAAGTTTGGTTTTGTTTTCTTGTAATACCATTTTATGAAGTATAAGCATGTAGTATTTCCAGAGGAAAACTTCAAAATGAAGATGTGTATATAGGCCCTTGCTTCCATAAGTCCTCAACCGGGATTATCATCTCTCTTCCTGGCATTTCTCTGAGGTAAGTATAAAGATGATGTTGACCTTCCTGGCTTGTCTCAGTTGGCACTGGGCCTCTGAGTGTAAAGCTGAAAGTAGGCTGTGGTCTCCAGTTTAGTCCTGTGCTTTTACCCCAGGACACATAGTAGTCCTTGTCTGTACCCACCTGCCCATTTTGTCTGTGGGTCATTGTGGACAGTGACTGGAAATTAGCACATATGGTATACATTCATCCTTACAGGTCATAGCTCAGGTTGTCTCTTCTATCTCTTTCCTTACATTTGTGTTCATTTCTTCCGTCCCTTTTTACCTCCACACCTCCAGTTTGAATTTTTATTTGGAATTGTCATTTATTTCCTCAGGTTTAATGCCTTGAATTTTTTTTTTTTTTTTTTTTCAGTGATCAGGAACCTCCCTATTCAATGATAACATTACATGAAATGGCAGAAACAGGTATTTTTAGTTTTGTTTTTATTACTTTGTAATGAATATATAATAATGAAAAGTAGCCACCTTTTGTTTTCTGTTTTGTTTTGAGATAAAAGACTCCAAAAAGACAGCATACATAACAATGAAAAAAGCCCTTACTGTATGGAAATTTCCCTGAATAGATATAATAGGCAATGTGCGTAATGGCATTGCCCGGCCTATATTTTTAAAAGAGAAAATTTAAAAATCTTCCAGTATGCCAAAAAGAAAAAAAAACCAAACCCTAGAATTTTACATTTCCATCTAAATAAGAATTCAGAGAGCCTCCTGGGCTCTCACCTTTTTTTTTTTTTTTTTTTTTGAGACAGAGTCTTACTCTGTTGCCCAGTGCAGTGGCACAATCACAGCTCAACTGCAGCCTCAACCTACCCTGGCCCAGGTGATCACCCCACCTCAGCCTCTCAAGTAGCTAGCACCACAGGCACATGCTACACTACCCAGCAATTGTTCTGTTTTTTTGTAGAGACAGAATTTCACCATGTTGCCCAGGCTGGTCTTATACTCCTGGGCTCAAGGGATCCTCCTGCCTCAGCCTCCCGAAGTGCTGGATTACTCATGTGAGCCACAGCCCCTGGCCAAGGATATTTTTTCTTCCTTAGTTTCCTAAGTATCATTCTGAAAACAAAGCCAACTGCTGAGTATACTTCATTTTCTCAGTTAACTCCTATGTAGTAAATAAGATGCTTAAAACTATTTTAATGTGAGAACACAAGACCGTAGCTTAACCTTTTTACAAATACAGGTACCCACAAATCACCAGACTCCTGTAACTTAAGATGTTTTTACTCCACCACGATGACTAGCAATTGATGATTATGTCCATGCCAAGTATTAGCTGCTAAAAATCTATTGACCAAAAGTCTTTCTTTTAATGTGAATTGATCTTGTGTGACATATTTTCACATTTTAAAAATAGTGACTCCATCATATAATCTTCTTGATTTGCTCTTAGATGAAGGATGGTTGGATGTTGTCCAGTCTTTAATTAGAGTTATTCCACTGGAAGATCCACTGGGACCAGCTGTTATAACATTGTTATTAGATGAATGTCCATTGCCCACTAAAGTAAGTTAATACTTATCTTTTAGGAAACTATCATTTTTGCTTAAGCACAGGATAAATAACCACAAAGAACATTTGATGTAATGTGTTTCATCTTTATACATTTGGGGTCTGTTTTATTCAGTATTGATTTTATTATGTAAATTTATTTTGTATTATGAAGAATTATGTCCTCTTTTTTTTTTTTTCTCTCTTTGAGATAAGAGTCTCGCTCTGTTGCCCAGGCTGGAGTATAGTGATGTGATCTCGGCTCACTGCAACCTCCACCACCCGGGTCCAAGCGATTCTCCTGCCTCAGCCTCCCAAGTAGCTGGGATTACAGGCGCCCACCACCACACCCGGCTGATTTTTGGATTTTTAGTAGAGACGGGATTTCACCATGTTGGCCAGGCTGGTCTTGAACTCCTGACCTCAAGTGATCTTCCTGCCTCGGCCTCCTCCCAAAGTGCTGGGACTACAGGCATGAACCACTGCGCCCAGCCCTCTGTCTTTTTTTTGTGGTTTATTTTGAAACAGGGTCTCACTTTGTCACCCAGGCTGGAGTGCAGTAGAGTGCAGCTGCAACCTCCCTGGGCTCAGGTGATCCTCCCACCTCAGCCTCCCATGTAGCTGGGACCACAGGTGCATGACCCCATGTCTGGCTAATTTTGTATGTTTTGTGGAGATGGGGTTTCATCATGTTGCTCTGGCCGGTCTTGAACTCCTGTGCTCAAGCAGTCAGCCCACCTCAGCCTCCCAAAGTGCTGGGATTGTAGACGTGAGCCACAGTGCCCTGCCACATTCTCTATCAAGACTTTATTTAATTTCTTTTTTTTTCTTCTTTCCCTTCCTCCCTCCCTCCCTCCCTCTCTTCCTTCCCTTTCCTCCTTTCCTCCCTTCCTCCCCTGGCCCCACCTAGGCTGGAGTGCAGTGGTGCAGTCATGGCTCACTGTGTCCTCAGCCTCTCAGGTTCAAGTGATCCGCTTGCCTCAGCCTCCCATGTTGCTGGGACTACAGGCATGCACCACCATACTCGGCTAAATTTTTTTTAATTTTTGTAGAGAAAGGGTCTCACTGTGTTACCCAGGCTGATTTTGAATTCCTGGGCTCGACGGATCCTCCCACCTTGGCTTCTTAAAGTGTTGGGATTATACATGTAAGCCACTATGCCCAGCCTAGGTTAAAATTTTTTAAATGTTAAAAATAGAAGCATTTAAGGCCAGGCGCGGTGGCTCACGCCTGTAATCCTAGCACTTGGGGAGGCTAAGGTGGGTGGATCACCTGAGGTCAGGAGTTCGAGTCCAGCCTGGCCAGCATGGTGAAGCCCCATCTCTACTAAAATACCCTGTCTCTACTAGAAATCAGCCAGGAGTGATGGCAGGCACCTGTAATCCCAGTACTCAGGAGGCTGAGACATGAGAATTGTTTGAACCCAGGAGGCAGGGGTCGCAGGGAGCTGAGATCATGCCACTGCACTCCAGCCTGGGCGACAAAGCAAAACTCTGTCTCAAAAAAAAAAAAACAAAAAAAAAGCAGCAGCAGTTAGGTTGGGTGCAGTGGCTCACACTTGTAATCTCAGCACTTTGGGAGTCCAAGGCAGGCAGATTGTTTGAGTCCAGGAGTTCAAGTCCAGCCTGGCAACCTGGTGAAACCCTGTTTCTACAAAAAAATCCACAAGTTAACAGGGTGTCATGGTGCATGTCTATAGTCCCAGCTTGCTCAGGAGGCTGAGGTGGGAGGATCACTTGCATTCAGGAGGTCGAGATTGCAGTGAGACAAGATTACGTCATTGCGCTCTAGCCTGGTTAAAAAAAGAAGTATTTGTATCTGAGGTGGCAATCTTTATTCAGAAGCTAGAAGAGAATGTTGAGTTGCTGAGCTGATTTTCTTATCTTTCTCTAAGTGATTTCCTCAAAAGTTTTAATAATGTTTTTTATTAGGAGGAAAAACTGGGCTGGATATAGTGGTTCGTGCCTGTGATCCCTGCACTTTGGGAGACCGAGACAGGAGGATCAGTTAAGCTCAGGAGTTTGATGCCAGCCTGAGCAACATAGTGAGACCTTGTCTCTATTTTAAAAAAATAAAAATAAAAAACCGGGCACAGTGGCTCATGCCTGTAATCCCAGCTCTTTGGGAGGCCAAGGTAGACAGATCACTTGAGGTCAGGAGTTCGAAACCAGCCTGGCCAACGTGGTGAAACCTCATCTCTACTAAAAATACAAAAATTAGCCAGCACGATGGCGTGCACCTGTAATCCCAGCTACTTGGGAGGCTGAGGCAGGAGAATCACTTGAACTCGGAAGGTGGAGGTTGCAGTGAGCCGAGATTGTACCACTGCACTCCAGCCTGGGCGACAGAATGAGACTCCGTCTCAAAAAAAAAAAGTTAAAACTGCAAGCACTTTTGAATCTTACCCAAATGTATTAATGATTAGTGTAACCCTGGTTATCCCTTACATAGAACAAAAGCATCAAACTTTCATTGTCTTAGTCCATGTGTTTTACAGAGTCTTTTTTTTTTTTAATTGGATTCTGGCATCTTTCATTTTTAAGATGGAGTCTTGCTATGTTGCCCAGGCTGGTCTCAAACTCCTGGGCTCAAGCATCCTCCCACCTTGGCCTCCCAAAGTGCTGGGATTGCAGGCATGAGCCACTGTGCGTAGCCTCGATTCTGGCATTTTCATTCATCTGTTTAAGCCCAGTACAGAAAAACATTGTGGACAGAAGGGGAAAGGCTTTAGCGTACTCGCCAATGTATTTACCTTTGCCTAGGCTCATAAGAGGTGCCTGTTTCAATTTACCTTCAACTCTATTGGGTCAGGGTGCAGTGGTTCATGCCTGTAATCCCAAACTTTTTGGGGGCTGAAGCAGGAGGATCACTTAAGACCAGGAGTTTAAGACCCGCCTGGGCAACATAATGAGATCCCCATCTCTACAGAAAATTAAAATTATCTGGGCATTGTGACATGTGCCTGTAGTCCCCAGCTGCGAGAGAGGCTAAGGTAGGAGGATCACTTGAGCCCAGGAGGTAAAGGCTACAGTGAGCCATGATCACTTCATTGCACACCAGCCTGGGCAACAGAGCGAGAGCAAAAAGAAGAAAACTGTTGGGATTTGTTTTTGCTTAGTAAAACTTTTTTTTTTTTTGAGACGGAGTCTTGCTCTGTCTCCCAGGCTGAAGTACAGTGGCCAGATCTCAGCTCACTGCAAGCTCCGCCTCCCGAGTTCACGCCATTCTCCTGCCTCAGCCTCCCGAGTAGCTGGGACTACAGGCGCCCACCACCGCGCCCGGCTAATTTTTTGAAGTTTTCAGTAGACCCAGGGTTTCACTGTGTTAACCAGGATGGTCTCGATCTCCTGACCTCATGATCCGCCCGCCTTGGCCTCCCAAAGTGCTGGGATTACAGGCGTGAGCCACCGTGCCCGGCCGTAAAACTTTTTTTAAAGTAACTTTTTACTTCAACATCACTAGCCTTTAATGTTTTCATAATGGCATTTGAGTGGGTTTAATCTGTTTAGTGATTCAAGAATATGTAGCATATATTTGATACAACTTAAGCATTCTGAATGAAATGAAATCTAGTAAGTCATGAAAGGAGACTTTCAGGTTGATCAGAAATTTCCCATCAATGATATCATTGGGGTACATTGCATAATTTTTATATGGTCTTTCTGAGTTTATTTAACACCTGGTTATAGCTCCCCCCACCCCCCTGAGGCAGAGCCTTACTCCGTCATCCAGGCTGGAGTGCAGTGGCGTGATCTCAGCTCACTGCACCCTCCACCTCCCGGGTTCAAGTGATTCTCCTGCTCTGCCTCAGCCTCCTGAGTAGTTGGGATTACAGGCACGTGCCACCACTCCCGGCTAATTTTTGTATTCTTACTAGAGATGGGGTTTCACCATGTTGGCCAGGCTGGTGTCGAACTCTTGATCTCGTGATCTGCCCTCCTCGGCCTCCCAAAGTGCTGGTTATAGCTTTCGTCTCAAAAAAAAAAAAAAATGAGCCTGGGAAAACAACCTGTGTAGTATATGGGTCAAACCCACTTGTACTTTTTTGTTTTAGGATGCACTCCAGAAATTGACTGAAATTCTCAATTTAAATGGAGAAGTAGCTTGCCAGGACTCAGGCCATCCTGCCAAACACAGGAACACATCTGCAGTCCTAGGCTGCTTGGCTGAGAAACTAGCAGGTAACTTTGGGACACTCCACAGTGGAAGATCTTAAGTTGTTTGACATTAAAGGGAAATTTGTACTGTAGGTCTTTGATCAAACCTGTTATAACAGAAATAAATCTCTTAACAATGATATTGAGAGACATAGACTAACTGGAAGAAAATTACTGAAAGGCTACAGAGGTGAATACAATTTAATTTAGCTTTGTGGATTTTCAGGGGAAATTTTAAAAGAAAAAAGTTGTGTTTATTTGCTTTAAGAATAAGGAGCAGGGAAAAGAAAAAAAGGGGGAAAAAGCTAAATTCAGCATAACAAAGATATGTATGTATGTATACAATATATAATTTGCATATATACACACTTTATAAAGTTTAGCTAGATTATGAAGACATACAAGGTAGAGGGAGAGGAAAAGGAACTTCTGATTGGAGCAGTTTCTGAGAAGTAGATATTTAATTTGTTTATGAATATTACCCATTTTAAGAAAGTTAACAGCAAAGTATAGGGGCATAGCTCAGCTACTTACATCACATATTGTGGAAGAAACAATGGATTAGAAATCAGAATATGTGGCTGCTGGTTTGGACTCTCCCACGTGCTCGCCAAGTGCCCTGGAGTTAGTTGCTTCACTCTGTGGGCTCACTTGCTTAACTCTGAGATGGGGCTGGTACTATTTTCTACCTCAGAACAGGATGCTTGAATAAGATAACATGCGTGAAAGAGTTCTACCAATTTGATTGCTACCAGTGATTTAAAATAATATGGCATTTTAATTTATATCAAGTGTTTGTTGTATTTGTCTAGGTCCTGCAAGTATAGGTTTACTGAGCCCAGGAATACTGGAATATTTGCTACAGTGTCTGGTAAGTGAGACATCAAAACTATTTATTCTCAGTCATCTAGAAGTGAGCATCATCTAGAACTGTGCATTTTCTCAAATTGCTGGCATAGCCTCTGGCACAGAGAATGGAATCAATTGTAAATTTTATTTGCAGGTGTTTCCCGAATGCTTATTTATTCCCTCCTATGTTTAAAAAAGAGAGTGGGATTGGAATTTATCCCAACCAGCAAAAACAGCTGAGTTGGTCTGGTTTTAAATTTAGTCATAAGATAGCTGCTATGATTGGCTCTTTTGCATGTTCGTAGAGTTTGCCAAATGGTAATAGGGACCTCCACAGTGGAAACAAAATTACATGGTGTTCCAAGCCAGGAGGCCATCAAGTCAAATTCCCAGCGTATATAAATCTCTACTCCTCCCTGCCCTCCCCCTCACTGCTACTGTTCTTAAAACTGTTGTCACTGGAGTATTTAATATATTGTATGTGAAGCTTGTGGTTTGCTGAGGCTGTGCCCTCAGATCTCTCCTAGTTCTGGCCTGTGGTCTTGAATGGTCTATATTTTTAAAAGTTATTTTTGTAAGCCTAGTGAGCATTGGCCTTTTTCAAAACTCTGGTCTGAAAACCCTTATTTGTCAATACACACTGATACGTGCTTAAAACACTTGCCTTACTCTCAATGAGCACTCTGGGGATACAGCATGGCAGTCCTTTGATTTCAAGAAGTTTATTGGTTAGTTGAGGAAACAAAACTACTCAGACAAGATAATTAGCCTCCATTTTATCACAGGATGTGATCATGGGATAAAGTACTTCGTCAAGACTAAATGAGGGCCGGTCACTGTGGCTCACGCCTATAATCCCAGCATTTTGGGAGACTGAGGTGGGCAGGTCGCCTGAGGTCAGAAGTTCAAGACCAGCCTGACCAACATGGTGAAACCCGGTCCCTGCTAAAATACAAAAATTAGCCGGGCACGGTGGCATGTGCGTATAGTCCCAGGTACAGGAGGCTGAGGCAGGAATTCACTTGAACCTAGAAAGCAGACATTGCAGTTAGCTGGGATCTCACTGCACTCCAGTCTGGGCGACAGAGCGAGACTCCGTGTCAAAAAAAAGACTAAATGAGAGGGTGAGGGAGGTGGGTGGTATGGGTAATGAGAGCTGGGGTGTCATGAAAGTCAGACTTCCTGATGAAGGTGGACCCTCAGCTGGGTCATGCCATAAGATTAGGATTTTATTGTGCCCAGAGGAGGAAAAATTGGACTTCTTAGCTAAGGGAACATCAAGGCAGAAGCCCAGAGACAGAGAAGTGTCTGATGAGAGAAGACAGTATTCAGAGATAGGACACAGACTGAGTAGCCAGCTAGAAAGGGTTCAGGGCCTGAAAAGCCAGGCAGAGGGATTTAGATGGATATGAGAAGAAATAGAATGCTGAATAGGCTTTCCAGCAGCAGGGATGGTGGTTATGTGAGCTTTCCAGAACTTAGGTGGGTACCAGGGAAGTCAGTGGGAATCATCTGATATTCTGGAGCTCCTCTGGTGGCTCCCAATGCAGCAGTAGGGAAAGCATGGCTATGAGAAGGTGTCATGTTCAACAGATAGACCTTTCCTTAAAGGGGAACTCACGTGACATGAACTTAAATGTAACTAAAAGTTCACTTGTTGCTTTCTCCTGTCTACCATCAGCATTTGTAGAATTCCTTTCAGGAAACAGCTTAAAAACTAAGCCATTAATTGTTAATTTAATTATTTCTAATTTTGGAACTTGGTAGTGATAAGTGGTTCTTTTTAGGGTTCTAAGTAAAAGATCATTTTTAGTTTATAATTCAAGGTTTCTGTTTGGCTTGCACAAATGAATGTGAGAATCAATGTTTTATTTAACAAAGCCCTAATATAAGTTTTACGAAGTAAAATAACATAGTGTATTTAACAGGATACTTTTGAAATTTCCAAATCTATAAATTAACCTAGTGACTTTAAGAAAAAATTACAAGATTAAGAGAGCCTGTCCGGTTCATTACTGTTACTGTCATTACTAACATTAGCCAAACGGATAATTGAGGACTTGAATGAATGGAACTTTTCTGACCACTCAAAAAAACATCTAGCACATACTGGGCAAGGAAATGAAACTGATAACTTGCCACCTCTGCAGGGGAATGATTTTTTTTTTTTTTTTTTTTATCTTTTGTTGTTTTTCAGAAGTTACAGTCCCACCCCACAGTCATGCTTTTTGCACTTATCGCACTGGAAAAGTTTGCACAGACAAGTAGGTATAGTGACTTCTTGCACTAATGATCTTCTGTATTGGTTGTTAAAAATTTTATTTTTCTTAGTTACTGGATGAGCCTACACTTTGAACCCCATCAGATGGGCATTACATTCTGTTTTCGTCTGGATAGACAAGTTAAAGCCAATGAAGTATAACAGGGACAAAGGCAAGGATTTTCTCACCTAAGAATCGAAACTTGGTAACCATGATTACTCACTTTTTATAGCCAAAAATTTAGTAATGCGATTGCTACTTTCTAGAAAGAAGTGTGGTGGCTCATGCCCATAATCCCGGCACTTTGGGAGGCCAGGGCCAGAGGATCGCTTCAGGCCAGGAGTTCGAGACCAGGGTGGGCAACATAGCAAGACTCAATCTCTACAAAAAATTTTAAAAAATCAGCCAGGCATGGTGGCATGCACCTATGTTCCTAGCTACTTGGGATGCTGAGGCTGGGGGATCACTTGAGCCCAGTAGTTCAAGGTTACAGTGAGCCATGGTTGTGCCACTGTACTCCAGCCTAGGCAACAGAGCGAGACCCTGTGACTAAAAAAAAAGGAAAAGAAAATAGTCAAAGCTCTTTGGCTATGTTATCCCTAGAAAGTTTAATTGAAGTCTAATCTAGTCTCCAATTCTTTAATTGCCTCTTCCCCTTAGCAATACTAATTTGCTGAGCAAATCATTCTACTCTCTCATTGTTAATTCAAGGATTATGTCTTTCCAAACAGGTGAAAATAAATTGACTATTTCTGAATCCAGTATTAGTGACCGGCTTGTCACATTGGAGTCCTGGGCTAATGATCCTGATTATCTGAAACGTCAAGTTGGTTTCTGTGCCCAGTGGAGCTTAGACAATCTCTGTAAGTGAGAGTTGTCCTTTATTAAAATGTCTGTTTCCATTTCCAGACTCATTTCTTTCATAGGCTCACTGGTCTTCCTTTTGCAGTGGTAAGTATGAGTCCTTATAAGGACCTCTACTGGCAGGTTGGATATATTCTAGCAGAAAAGTATCCTAGAGACCCTTTAGACAAGAATTGTATAGTATGCTTCTAATTCCAGCATTTTCTTGTTCAAAAACCTTTACTGGCACCCAGTTTCCTACTGCATCAAAGCCCTTAATTATATGGCACTGTCTAACCAGCTCTTTCCAACACAAATCATCTCACTGTCCTACAAACAGGTCCTGACGATTCCTACCTCTGGACCTATTCCCCTCACTTGGAAATCCCTCTTTACTCCTCTCCCTTTCCCAACTTTGCTCTTCAAAACCCAAGTCATGTCTTACCTACATCATGAGAACTGTTCCTGATTTTTCTCTTTTCCTCCTCCAAGGGCTGCTGGAACAAAAACTACTATAGGTTGAGTTTCTCTTATAGTTTGAATTTCTCTTATCTGAAATGCTTGGGACTGAAAGTATTTCAGATTTCACATTTTTTCAGATTTTGGAGTACTGGCAGATACCCGGTTAAGCATCCCTAATCAAAAAATCTGAAATCCTTCATTGAGCATTTCCTTTGAGCCTCATGTCTGCACTCAAAAAGTACTAGATTTTGGAGCATTTTGGATTTTCAGATTAAGAGTGATCAACCTGTATACTTCTGTACCCTCACTCCCCCATCCATAGTTAGTACTGTGCTAAAGCACAACTGACATGTAAATCCACCCCGACTGTTACCCCAATATTGTGGGGAAGAGCTTCCTGCACAGCCTGTGAAGTGCTAGTTAAAGAATAATTCTGAAAGAGTGCAATTTGGATTTTGTTCATGCAAAGTGATTCTCTAGGGAATGGAAGCATAAATCTAGCAGTGCTGCCTTTCCTAGCATTTGTTTGATTGCTCTTCAAATGGCAATGCTGCAGCAGAGCTCTGGCTATGTCTCCCTACCTATTCTGCCATTTACGAGCACCTCTACTCCTTAAATAGGATAGCACTACCTTATTTATTTGTTTGTTTATTTTTAACGTATGAAAAATCAGTGTGTTTTACCTTCCAGGAGGATTATTTTTAATGGACATATAGTAATACATATTTTTGGAGCACATGAGATATTTTGATAGTCATACAATGAGTAATTACCACATCAGAGTAAATGGGATATCTGTCCCCTCAAGCATTTATCATTTATTTGTGTTACAAACATTCCAATTATACTCTTTTGGTTTTTTAAAATTTCTTTGTTTTACACTTTCATTTTCTTTTAGTTATTTTTAAATGTACTATAAATTATTGTTGACTTAGTCACCCTGTTATGCTGTCAAATACTAGGTGTTCTTCATTCTGTCTAGCTATATTCCCATTAACCAACCCCATTTCTCCCCAACCCCGACTACCTTTTCCAGCCTCTGGTAATCATCCTTCTATTTTCTCTTTTCATGAGTTCAGTTGTTTTAATTTTTAGCTCCCACAAAAATTAGTGAGAACGTGCAAAGTTTGTCTTTTTGTGCCTGACTTATTTCACTTAACATCATGTCCGACAGTTCCATCCATGTTATTGTAAATGACAGGATCTCATTCTGTTTTTGTGGCTGAACAGTACACTATTATGTGTATGCGCCACATTTTTTTTATTCGTTTGTCTCTCTGTGGACACTTAGGTTGATTGCAAATCTTGGCTATTGTGAGTGCTGCAATAAACATGAGATTGCAGATATTTCTTTGATATATTCATTTCCTTTCTTTTTGCTATATATGTAGCAGCAGAATTGCTGGATCATATGGTAGCTCTGTTTTTAGTTTTTTGAGGAACCTCCATACTGTTCTCCATAGTGGCCGTACTAATTTGCATTCCTACCACCAGTGTACAAGGGTTACCTTTTCTCCACATCCTCACCAGCATTCACTGTTGCCTGTTTTTTTGGATAAATGCTGTTTTTACTGGGGTGAGATGATAGCTCATTGTAGTTTTGATTTGGATTTCTCTGATGATCAATAATGTTGAGTACCTTTTCATATATCTGTTTGCCATTTGTATGTGTTCTTTTGATAAATGTCTATTCAGTTGTTCTGCCCACCTTTTAATCAGATTATTGGATGTTTTCCTGTTGAGTTGTATGACCTTCTTATATATTGTGGTTATTAATCCTTTGTCAAATGGATAGTTTGCAAATAGTTTCTCCCATTCTGTGGGATCTCTTTACTTCGTTGATCATTTCCTTTGCTGTAAGAAACTTTTTAGCTTAATATGATCCCATTTGTCCATTTTTGCTTTGGTGCCTGTGCTTTTGGGGTATTCAAGAAATCTTTGCCTAGATCAGTGTCCTGGAGAGTTTCCCCAATGTTTTAGTAGTTTCATAGTTTGAGGTCTTAGATTTAAGTCTTTAATCCATTTTGATTTGATTTTTGTAGACGATGAGAGATAGGGGTCTAGTTTTATTCTTTTGTTTATGGATATGTGGTTTTTCTAGCACCATTTATTGAAGACACTGTCCTTTCCCCCAATGTATGTTCTTGGCACCTTTGTTGAAAATGAGTTCACTGTAGATGTATGGATTTATTTCTGGATTCTCTGTTCTGTTCCATTGGTCCATGTGTCTGTTTTTATGCCAGTACCATGCAGTTTGGGTTCCTGCAACTCTGTAGTATAATTTGAAGTCAAGTAATGTGATTCCTCCAGTTTTGTTTTTTTGCTCAGGGCCAGGTTTTTTGCTATTCTGGGTCTGTTGTAGTTAGGATAAATTTTAGGATTATTTTTTCTATTTCTGTGAAGAATGTCATTGGTATTTTGATAGGGATTGCATGGAATCTGTAGATTGCTTTAAGTAGTGTAGACATTTTAACAATATTGAGTCTTCCAATCCATGAACATGGTGTATCTTTGTGTCCTCTTCAATTTCTTGCGTTAGTGTTTTATAGTTTTCATTGTAGAGATCTTTCACTTCTTTGATTAAGTTTATTCCTAGGTATCTTACTTTATTTATAGGTTTTGTAAATACAATTACTTTCTTGATTTCTTCTTCAGATTGTTTGCTATTGGCATATAGAAATGCTATTGATTTTTGTATGTTAATTTTATATCCTGCAACTTTACTGAATTTGCTTTTTAGTTCTAATAGCTTATTGGTGGATTTTTTTAGGTTTTCCTAAATATAAGATCATATTATCCACAAACACAGATAATTTGACTCCTTCCTTTCCATTTTGGATGCCCTTTATTTCTTTCTCTTGTCTGATTGCTGTAGCTGGCACTAGCTTCTTCTTTTCCCCACAGCTACCTGCCTTAGAAACATGAACACTCTTTCTTTTGCAGTTTTAAAAGAAGGTAGACAGCTGACCTATGAGAAAGTGAACTTGAGTAGCATTAGGGCCATGCTGAATAGCAATGATGTCAGCGAGTACCTGAAGATCTCACCTCATGGCTTAGAGGTAGGTAACGCTTCTGCAGTTAGACCCTTTGGGGGATGACAGGGTAATTATTTTAATCGTTGCATAGCCAGTTGTCTTAGGGCTGGTGCTTCCCTCTCTCCCTGTATGTTGGAAATGTTGCTGACTTCGTGGGGAAGTCTTGATGAAAGATCTGCTTATGAACAGAAGGTACCATAAGGCACTAAATGTGTCAGGATTAAAGAACCGTTTGAAGAATGGCTGCAAACAATTATTTGATTCTGTATGTTGCCAAATGCCTTATATAGTTTGATTTTATACTTTTTGTCACTAAGGATGGATGGAGGAAACAGTCCACCAGAAGCTTTAATAAGGAAAAATACACTCAGCCTTCCCAGTAGTCAGTTATCTTTGGTGGTCTTCAGGCCTTCATGGTTGATTGTCACATTTTTTGGTTTTGCCAGGCTCGCTGTGATGCCTCCTCTTTTGAAAGTGTGCGTTGCACCTTTTGTGTGGATGCTGGGGTATGGTACTATGAAGTAACAGTGGTCACTTCTGGTGTCATGCAAATTGGCTGGGCCACTCGAGACAGCAAATTCCTCAATCATGTAAGTACCCTAGAGAACTGTGAAAATGGGGGCAGTGGCAGTTTGCTTTTTCCCCCTAGTTGGTGGGTGGAAAATACTTAGACATACTTATTTTTCAAATAGATTTGCTCAATAATCTTTTCTTGGGCTGAGCCACACGGTACCAGATCCCTAACAATGATCTACTAAACTGATAGAAAAATAGGAAAACACAAGTGAAATTGCCCCTCAGCCTTTTCTTTTTCTTGAATCTTAAGTTCACACTAATTTTTCACCTAGAGGCTGGATGTGTCCTTTGTCTTTGTAGGCTCTGCTTCTGCCCCAGCCACATATTTGGCTCATTTCTTATACAGGAAGTAGTGCTGATTATTACCATGAGTTTAAGCTCTAAGAGCTTTGTAGGGATTCTCTTCCTTTCAAGAAATAGAGTGTTGGCTTGACTTCTTTCACTTGACTTTTACCTAGTAATTAGGTGGCGCATTTTTCTCAATATTTAGTTATTTATCTTTTGTTATAGAAAGCTGTAATATAAAGGGGAAAATTAAATCCTAGCGTAAGTAGCATTGAAGGTGTTGGAGTTCCTCCCTTTCCTACAGATGTATGATTTCTTGCCACTTTATACCCTTCTAACACCCAGGCCAATTGGCTTTCTTCTGTTGATCAAATTATAAGCTGTTTGGAATTAATACAGTTTTGATCAGGAATATTTTGTTTTCATATGATTTCTACCGTTTGAGGTGGGAGAAGCCCCTTGAATTATTTTGTTAATTTAAATAATAGTCCCCCATCCAATATGTAAGATCCTGGAATGGGTTTTAGAAGTGATCCAACAAAATCAAATTAAACTTGCCGGCCATAAGCATGGTGAAGTTTTCTGGTTTTTTGCTTTGCTTTTAGAGACAGTCTCACTCTGTCACCCAGGCCAGGGTGTGGTGGCACGTGATCTCTGCTCACTGCAACCTCCGCCTCCCAGGTCCAGGCAATTCTTGTGCCTCAGCCATCAGAGTAACGGGGATTATAGGTGTGCACCACCACACGGATGATTTTTGTATTTTTAGTAGAGACAGGGTTTTGCCATGTTGGCCAGGCTGGTCTCAAACGCCTGGCCTCAAGTGATCCGCCTCCCAAAGTGCTGAGATTACAGGCATGAGCCAGCGCTCCTGGCAGCCTCGGGTGGTGAATTTCTAAGGCAATTAGATGCAAGCTCATTTAACTCTTGAATAGTCTGAATAGTGAATATCAGTAGCTATTTCAGGAGAGTCCCTTTGGAGAGCATTCATCTAAATTCAGTATGTATGTTGTAATCCAAAAATTTAGTACGAAATCGTTGCGTTCGACCTTTTTTTCCAATCTATCTCCTCACTGTATTGTTTGCCCCATAGAAGAAACAGGCCATCAGGACCTGATCTTACCTGGATTTGGCCATTTTCAATTTCTTTCTCTAGTAAAACTTTTCACCATTGTTCCTTAAAGATAGCAGTTGTCTGATTTGCTTGCTGCTTCTATTTTTTATAAGCACTCAAAATAATTTCTTAAGATCTCAGCCACCCTTTTATTTTAACAGTTCTGTGAAATAATTGAAAGGCAGTAAGTAAGAAAAAGAAGAAACTGCCAGGTACGGTGGCTCACGCCTGTAATCCCAGCACTTTGGGAGGCCAAGGCGGGCAGATCACCTGAGGTCTGGAGTTCGAGACCAGCCTGACCAACATGGAGAAACCCCATCTCTACTAAAAATACAAAAGTAGCTGGGCATGGTGGCTCATGCCTGTAATCCCAGCTACTCAGGAGGCTGAGGCAGGAGAATCGCTTGAACCCGGGAGTCAGAGGTTGCGGTGAGCCAAGATCACCCCATTATACTCCAGCCTGGGCAACGAGTGAAACTCCATCTCAAAGGAAAAAAAAGAAGAAACTGCCAAGGACCTGTACAATCCTCAAATCAAGCTGATCTCAGAATAGCTTTTATCTGAGTGTCCACTATAACCTTTCTCGTCTCCAGTTTTGAAATCTCTGAATATTTGGGTATTTTGAAGTCTGCTACATGCAAGAAAGGCATTTGCCTGATCTGATCTTGTTACTGGAAAGGGTCTGGATCCAGATCCCAAGAGAGGGTTTTTGGACCTTGCACAAGAAAGAATTTGGGGCGAGACTATAGAATAAAGTGAAAAGTTTATTAAAGAAACAGAAGAATGGCTACTTACTCTATAGGCAGAGCAGCGGCGCGGGCTGCTCAACTGAGTGAACTTAGGTTATTTCTCGATTATATGCTAAAAAGGGGTAGATTATTCATGAGTTTTCTGGGAAAGGAGCAGGCAATTCCCAGAACCAAGGGTTCCTTTTTAGACTATATAGAGTAACTTCCAAACTGCCATGACATTTGTAAACTGTCATGGCACCTGTTAGAGTGTCTTTTAGCATGCTAATACATTATAATTAGCATATCATGAACAGTGAGGTTGACCAGAGGTCACTTTTGTTGCCGTCTTGGTTTTGGTGGGTTTTGGCCAGCTTCTGGCTGGCTTGTCGCATCCTGTTTTATCAGCAGGGTCTTTGTGACCTGTATCTTGTTCTGACCTCCTGTCTCATCCTGTGACTAAGAATGCCTGACCTCTTGGGAATGCAGCCCAGCAGCCCAGCAAGTCTAAGCCTCATTTTACCCTGCCCCTATTCAAGATGGAGTCTCACTGGTTTGAATTTCCTCTGACAATCTGGTACTGATATACAAGTGTACTGATCTTGGAATCAGAAGAATTTAGGTTCAAACCTGGCTCTCTTTCTTGGGCAAGTAATACATGCTTGGGCAAGCTGGTTGACCTCTCTGAGCGTTTGTTTCCTCTTATAATGGAGTCTGATGCCACCAGCCTCATGGTAGTGAGAATTAAATGAACTAACAAATGTGAAAGTGCCTGAACAAAGGAGGTACTGGGCAAATATTTGTTGGTGAAGTCATTATCTGTTCACTTGGGACCAGCCCTCTAAGTCATAATTTTAGTATTTTCCAAAAACCATGAGCTCTCTTCATCCAGAAAGCTTAGAATCCCAGCCACTAGGTCAGTGGTTGTAAAAAACACACTCTCTCTTCCCAGGTCAGAGCAGGCAGACTTGCTAATCTTCTGGGCCTTGTCTCCCTCCAGGAAGGCTATGGCATTGGGGATGATGAATACTCTTGTGCGTATGATGGCTGCCGGCAGCTGATTTGGTACAATGCCAGAAGTAAGCCTCACATACACCCATGCTGGAAAGAAGGTATTCATTCCCTCCATTATAAATTTATCAAGTGGGTTAAGACATATGGTTATTATGAGGCATTTATTACATTAAGCCTTAAAATGTCTTAGAAGAAGATCAAATGTGAAAAGGGATATTAACTTTTGTGTCACTGCCAAAGATATAAATGGTACTCCTCCAATAAATTTACCTCTGGTGGAGTCCTTCCTGTAGCAAAAACGTTTCAGAAAATAAATTTTTTACATTCGTCAGAAAATGATACTGTTAAGATTAGTATGAATTCCATCTTCCTCTTTGGATCTATTTTGAATTAAAACAGCCATGCCAATATCAGGGACACTGGAATTGTAATGCCACTAAAATGAGGATTTTTCAGGGACAAGATGGCTATGGAACAGGTCCTATCCAGTGACCACGCTCTAAGGAAGTAGGGTCATATGGTAAAAGATATAACCTCTGGAAGGATTGGAGTCCTAGCATCAGAGATAGAGGATATAACCCAGCTATTTCTCCAAGCATCCCTCTCTCATTTTGCTACCCCAGTCAGCATTATGAATATAAACTGAATTTTTAGGCATGCTAATAAAGCAGAAATTTAGGCTGAGGCAGGTGGATTGCTTGAAGTCAGGAGTTCAAGACCAGCCTGGCCAACATGGTGAAACCTCATCTCTACTAAAATACAAAAATTAGCCAGGTGTAGTGGCACCTACCTGTGGTCCCAGTTACTTGGGAGGCTGAGGCAGGAGAATCACTTGAACCCAGGAGGCAGAGGTTGCAGTGAGCCAAGATTGCGCTACTGCACTCCAGCCTGGTCAACAGAGTGAGACTCTATCTCAAAAAAAAAAAAAAAAAAAAGGGAAAGAAAGCAGGAATTTGCCCACCCCCATGTGGAAACAGCTCCACTTGATTAAATTGATATGTGGGAAAAAAAAGTCAGAAAAGCCAACAGGAACACTCATTTTAAATGACTTGCAGGTTCTTGAAGGAACGTAAAACTTCTTCATTTAATTAAGCGTATGATAAAGGCACTGTTTTCAAAAACTAGCTTGTTTTTTAATAAGAATTTTTAAAGGATTATTCAAGTAATATGTTTATTATAAAAATGTGAAAAATAGAAAAAGAACAAAATGAATAAACTAAAAATCCCCTGTAATTTCTCCAGAGTTTTTTTAAAATGCTTAAATTTTATATATAGATATGTATATATATTTGTGTTGTTGTTATGCTTAATACCTTGAACAGCTTTCCAGGTTATTAAATAACATTACTTTTTATTGTTGTTTTTGGGACAGGGTCTCACCTATCGATAGCCCAGGCTTGAGTGCAGTGGTGTGATCACAGCTCATACAGCCTTGACCTCCCAGGCACACAATCCATCCTCCCACCTCAGCCTGTCCAGTAGCTGGGGCTACAGGGACACACCACCACGCCTGGCTAATTTTTATATTTTTTTGGTAGAGATAGGGTTTTGCCATGTTGCCCAGGCTAGCCTCAAACTTCTGGGCTCAAGTGATCCACCCAACTCTGGCCTCCCAAAGTGTCGGGATTACAGGCCTGAGCCACCATGGCCCAGACAATAACATTACTTTTAATGACTTCTCAATATTCCATTATATAGTTGTACTGTGATATACTAATTAATGCCTCATTGTTGGACATTGACATTTTTGCCTTTTGAAATTATCATTATAGACCATTCCGGATATTTTCAAGACAAAACCCTTAGAAGTGAAACTTCTCTGGCAAGGGGGATATAGAATTTCAAAACTTTTGCTGTATATTGCCCGATTTTCCTCCACCAGCATTGAGTGTCCATTTTTCTTGTCATTGCTGTGTAATTTCATTTATCTTTGACAAACAAATTTGTTTATCTCATCTTTCAAAACCAAAATTGGGCCAGATGTGGTGACTCATACCTTTAATCGCAGCAGTTTTGGAGGTCGAAGTGTGAGGATCCTTTGAGAGGATCACTTGGGGCCAGGAGTTTGAGATTAGCCTGGGCAACATAATGAGACCCTCCGTCTATAAAAAAATTTTAAAAATTTGCCAGGTGTGGTGGCACGTGCCTGTAGTCATAGTTACTCAGGAGGCTGAAGCAGGAGGATCACTTGAGCCCGGGAGTTTGAGGCTACAGTGAGCGAGCTAGGATTGTACCACTGCACTCCAGCCTGGGTAATGGAGCAAGACCCTGTCTTAACAACAAAAACAACAAAACCAAAAACTGAAACCTTAAGAGTTTTACTTTATTTGATAAGTGAAGATAAATGCTTTTTTTTTTTCTTCTTTTTTTTGAGACAGAGTCTCACTGTGTCACCCAGGCTGGAGTGCATTGGTGCAATCTCAGTTCACTGCAACCTCCACGTACAGGATTCAAGCGATTTTCCTACCTCAGCCTTCCAAGTATTACAGGCACCCACCATAACACCCGGGTTGTTTTTGTTTTTTCAGTAGAGATGGGGTTTCACTATGTTGGCTGGGCTGGTCTCAAACTGACCTCAGATGATCTGCCCGCCTTGGCCTCCCAAAGTGCTGGGATTACAGGCATGAACCACCACGCCCTGTCTTTTTTTTTTTTTTTTTTTTTGAGACAGTCTTGCCCTGTTGCCCAGGCTGGAGTGCTATGGCATGATGTCAGCTCACTGCGACCTCCACCTCCCGAATTCAAGCGATTCTCCTGCTTCAGCCTCCCAACTAGCTGGGATTACAAGTGCCCACCACCACACCCAGCTAATGTTTGTATTTTTAGTGGAGACAGGGTTTCACCGTGTTGGCCAGGCTGGTATTCAAACTCCTGACCTCAAGTGATCTGCCCACCTCGGCCTCCCAAAGTGCTGGGATTACAGGCGGGAGCCACCTCACCCGGCCTGCCTTGCCTTTTTTTAAAAGAAAGGCATATTTTGGGGGTAGTTATCTAGGGAGTTATAAATCTCACCAGAAAGGCAAGTAAGCACATGATTTTGATCTTACCATATTGCATTGAGCCCAAAATGCATATTTTTCCCCACATTTTAACATCTTTGAAATTGGGATGCATTTTAAGATTGGCTTGTCATAATTTAATTGGCAGTATTTTTTTCTTATTGTTACATTAAAATATTGGTGGGTGGGGTCAGATCAGAAGAAACAAAAATGACCATGTTGAATGCATAGCTAAAGATGCAGACTTAATACAGTGCCACTGAAACACTTGAGATGCTTATCAGAGAATCCTGGTAGTACACATCATTATCCTAACAGTGTTTCACTTTATCCTCTAGGAGATACAGTAGGATTTCTGTTAGACTTGAATGAAAAGCAAATGATCTTCTTTTTAAATGGCAACCAGCTGCCTCCTGAAAAGCAAGTCTTTTCATCTACTGTGTAAGTAGCTCTTCTCAGTCAAAAATTTGAGTAGATGCATGGAATGCCCTTTTCTCTAGGAAAAAAAAGTCTTTGTCCATTTATGTACGTAATTGTGATGAGAAATTGATTAATTTCAAGTGATTGGGAACCCATTTGATCAGACCTAAAACTATCCTGAGGTTTGATACAGGAAGATAAGGCACAATATTCTCTGGTCACAGACCTGTGTGGGTTATAAACACAATCTGTCACTCTTCCTTTCTGCCAGGGTAGGACTGACTCACCCTGCCTTTCTGAAAACTGTTCTGTCTATTAACTCTATTTTGATTGTTATTAATTCTGTTGGCCTCTGTACTCGTTTTATTTGTAGATCTGGATTTTTTGCTGCAGCTAGTTTCATGTCATATCAACAATGTGAGTTCAATTTTGGAGCAAAACCATTCAAATACCCACCATCTATGAAATTTAGCACTTTTAATGACTACGCCTTCCTAACAGCTGAAGAAAAAATCATTTTGCCAAGGTAAGGGATCTGCCCAGGCTATCTCTAGACTTTCACATGAATCTTAGGAGAAATTAAACAATTTATAATCAAGTTTAAAAGAACATAACCAATACATTTTGAATTAAATTACAATACCTGAGTAAAAGGATGACTTTTCAGGAAATATAAATTACTAAGATAGATCCCAGAAGAGATATACACAAACCAATTATTGTGTATATCTGTCCCTAGAAAGCACCAGACCCAGGTGATTTCACAGGGGATCTCTACCAAATCTTTAGGTAACAGATAACCTTATTGTTATTTAAAATGTTACCAAACCCAGAAAGAAGGAACACTTTCAAATTTTTTTTGTAAGATAAATAAGATTGGTATAAAAATCAGAAAAATATGACACACACAAAGAAGCTGCAAACTAACTTCACTTGAATGTCAGTGTCAAAATCCTAAATATTAGGAAATCTAGTGCACCTTTTTAACAGACTCGGCTTTATTGAAACAGACTTTTTATATGGTTTTAGCTGTGTGGCAAAGATGACAACACTGTTCCACAACCATCAGTGAATACCATCTTGCATAAAATTTCACAACCCTTATTTGACAAAAACTGTGTTTGGCATTAATTTATCAGATGAATGCCTGCTTTGCTTCCTTGTGAGATGAATGTAGTCTATTCCTTAGGCTGGGGAAAGACTCCAGCTGCTTCCTGGTAATTACTTCAAGTTGAAACTTGTTTCACAATGTGAGCTAAAGTTTATCATTTTAAACAGAGCAGCTGCCTGTTTAAAGGGTATTCCTGTTACTAATACCACATGTCTTATATCAGTAAAAGAGTCTCTCTCAACAGGCAAGGCCAGCATACTGGCCATGACATAGCTAATGTTGGACTGTTATGCCCCGAAGGTATCTGTAGCATAATCCTAGCTCTTGTTTTGGCTCAAAAAGCAGATCTGCAAGCAGTGCTCTGGGCTGTGCTTCACCTTGGACTCACTGTCTCAGTGTTTCAGTAGTTTCCAGATGAAATAGAAAATGGCATGATGATGGTAGCATTGTCTGCAGCAGCAGAGCCTCGGTAATAGCCCAAGAACGTAAGGGTTGCGTATGTTCCTGCTCAGGGTTCTGAGGTTAATTCCTAAAACTTTTCATTCAGCCTCATGCTTGGTGCCTGACAGAGATTCTGAACTTTAAATTCCTATTGGCCAAAATCTGAGGGGACATCTCTCCCTAATCTATCATACCCCATTCTTTTTCATCTAGCCTGCCTTTTCCTTGGATGAGGCCCACAAATAAGTCTTCTCACATATACCCTGAAAGGGACAGTTGATCCATCTAAGTTCCCCTGGGGACTGGCCATAGTTAAAATGCTTCAGCATTTAGTTAACTGCTCCTACAGAATCAAACCTTCCAAAACTCAGATGGCAATGGGCATCAACTGTCAGAAAGTCTTATTTTATGGACAGCTTATACACACTGTCTTGGTAACCATGTATATAAATTTGGTACTCAAAGTTCATCTTGTCTTGAATAAGAACAGCTGAATTTCAAGCTAGGTCCATCCTGTACTGTCTTTAGACTGTTTTCTCTGATAGTAACAAGAAGATAGAGTTGTCAAGAGCCTAATTGAGTGGCCACCTTAGTGCCAACCTCCTTCTTGCACCTTGCTGCCCTTAACATTCCAGTTGTGCTTACTTATAAATTGTGGCATTAAATATGAACTTACTTAAGACCATTTTCTGTACCATTAATATTTTCATCCTGTGTTCCAAAAATGTATATTCAGTGATACTTTATATTCATTGGAATATTACTCCTTTCTGGCATCAGGGTAGGAGATCATGGCCCTATTACTACCAACTGGGATTTTATAAATTGTTCTATGTTGTATATACTCTCTGTCTCTAATTGTTCTTCCATTCATTCTTTTTTTCTTTAACTTTTTTATTATGGAAAATTTCAAATACGTAAGAAAAAAATAATAGTACGGTGAAGCACCACATACCCACTCTCAGCTACAAGTCACCCACTCACAGCCGCTGCTTCTCCTACAGTCTTCTCTCATCTCTGTTTTTTTATTTTTATTTTTATTTTTTTGAGACACGGTCTCATTCTGTTGCCCAGGAGTGTGGTGGCACGATCTCAGGTCATTGCAACCTCCATCTCCCAGGCTTAAGCGATCCTCCCACCTCAGCCTCCTGAGTAGCTGGGACTACAGGCATGCCAACGCACCTGGCTAATTTTTGTATTATTTGTAGAGACTGGGTTTTGCCATGTTGCCCAGGCTGGTCTCGAACTCTTGGGTTCAAGCCATCTGCCTGCCTCGGCCTCCTAAAGTGCTGGGATTACAGGCGTGAGCCACTGTGCCCGGCCCCTCATCTGTTAATAACTACTTTATCATCCCTGTTTCCCTGGCCATAACCGTAGCCTGGGAGATGGAGGTTGCAGTGACCTGAGATTGTGCCACCACACTCCTGGGCAACAGGGTGAGACTCTGTCTCAAAAAAAAAACAAAAATAAAAATAAAAAAACAGATGAGAGAAGACTGTAGAAGACCTTACTTTCTGCTATACCCACATTCAATCCCTCAGCAAATCCGGAAGGCTGTGCTTTCAGAATATATCCCAAATCCAACTACTCATCACCCTCACTGCTGCTACCATGGTCCAAGCCTCCACCATTTCCTACCTGTATTATTTTTGTCTTGCCTTCGACCTTGTTCCTCCCCAGAACCCCTTCAGTCTATCCAACACAGCCTCCAGAATGATTTGTTACAGCGTAAGTCAGATCGCACACTTCTCTGCTCAAAAGACATCAGTGGGTGGCTTCCTATTCACTGAAGGGAAGAGCCAAAACCTTTCCGGTGACCTCCCAGGCCCTGTACAATTTGTCCTCTCCCTTCCCCATGTTACTTTTCTGACCTCTTTCCTACCCTCTCCCATTTTCTCATGCTCCTTCAGTCACCCTGGCCTCCTTGCTGCTCCTGAAACACACCAGGCCTATGATAGCTTTAGGGCACTTGCTGTACCTGCTACCCAAAATGGTTTCTCCAAACAACCACAGAACTCACTTCCTGACTCCCTTTACCTCTTCACTTAAATATTACCTTAGTGAGACCTTTCCTGGCTGCCGTATTTAAAATTGTTTTAATAACTCCCCACCTCTGATGTGTACACCCTTGTCCTTCCCATTTTCTCTTTCTTCATAGTATTTATCAACATTTAACACTGTATTTTACTTATCTTGTTTATTTCTGTCTTCCCCCACTGGACCATAAGCTCTCCAAAGGCAGGGATACTTTTTTAGTCCTCTGTTCACTGCTGAATCTCTAGGGTTTGGAACCGTGCCTGGCACACAGTAAGCCAATAAGTGAACTGAATAAATGCTTCATACTTCTGTTGCCTATCTATTAGGGCTGTACCTTTAGCAGAACAGTTTTGCCTGTCTGCTTCCATTCCACGCTGAGTGAAAGTATAATGGAAGGGTTCTAACTTGAGGTGTTTGGACTTGCAGGGAGTCTAAAATGGACTGTTATAAACCCCTTGAAATTGTATAAAAACTTGTATATGTGTGTTTTTCTTGAGAAAGGCTCTATGCTTGTCAGCTGACTCTCACATATGTGACTTGAAAGGTTGAAATTTGCTGGTAACATAAAAAGAGCACTGGACTTAGAACTAAAGAATTTGAATTTGATTCCCGACTGCATACTTTATATAAGTCACTTCCTTGAACTTTGTCTATAAAATGGAAATGGTTATACCTCCTTCATTCCCTACTTTAGAAAATGATTATAGGATTGAAAGGAGATAGCATGTATGAAAACCTTACTGAACAAAGTTTAAGGAATATATCTCACAGGTGCAGAGCATTTTCAAAGCATTTCATATGCATCACTGCTAATAGGCCCCCTGTTGACAAAATGCATTTCAAATTGCTTTTTCTACTCAGGCACAGACGTCTTGCTCTGTTGAAGCAAGTCAGTATCCGAGAAAACTGCTGTTCCCTTTGTTGTGATGAGGTAGCAGATACACAATTGAAGCCATGTGGACACAGGTAAGAGGATTTGTTTGGTTGTTTCCTCTTTTGTACATTAGGCAAAGTTTCATGCTGTTTTGAATTGCTAGTTCCATAGCTGGGCGAGGGCAGGTTTTTTTGAGATGGAGTCTCGCTCTGTCGTCCGTGCTGGAGTACAGTGGCACGATCTCAGCTCACTGCAACCTCTGCCTCCCGGGCTCATGCAATTCTCCTGCCTCAGCCTCCCAAGTAGCTTGGATTACAGGCGCATGCCACCAGGCCCAGTTAATTTTTGTATTTTTAGTAGAGCCGGGGTTTCACCATGTTGGCCAGGCTGGTCTCGAGCTCCTGACCTAAAGTGATCCACCTGCCTCGGCCTCCCAAAAGTGCTGGGATTACAGGCATGAGTCACCACACCCGGCCTACAATATAGGAATATTTGATATAATTACTCAAATAGGCCAGAGGCAGGAGGGGCAGTTGTCACTTTCTTCAAGAATGCTGAGAAAGCATTTGTTAAAATTCGATATCCATTCCTAATGGATGAAATATTACAAAACAGAAATGAATGGAGGGACGAAAACAATATAAAAGAGGAGTGGATGGATACTTCCGTAACAATATAAAAAACACATCTATTTCAGCCAAATGCTAGCATCTTTTTATTTTTTTATTTTTATTTTTTATTTATTTTTATTTTTATTTTTTGAAATGGAGTCTTGCTCTGTCGCCCAGGCTTGAGTGCAGTGACGCAGTCTCTGCTCACTGCAACCTTCACCTCCCAGGCTCAAGCGATTTCTCCTGCCTCAGCCTGCCAAGTAGCTGGGATTACAGGCGCCCGCCACCACACCCAGCTAATGTTTGTATGTTCAGTAGAGACGGGGTTTCACCAGCTAGCATCTTTTTAATGGTGACACGTGGGAAGCATTTCAAGAGATGTTGGGAACAAGATAAGGATGCCTACTGTCACCACTATGACTTACAAAATACACAAAACTCAGTCGTTTTTCTAGCTATATGTATAAATAGCAGCCAATTAGAACATATAATTGGAGATCCCTTTTACAATGGTTAAAAAAAAAGGCTAAGAATACATAGCAAGAAATATGTAGAGCGTATATGAAGAAAACTTTTAAACTACCAAAGAGTATAATAGAAGACTTAAATAAATGAGTCCTTTCTTGGATAGGAGGACCTCTCAGTATTGTAATGGTGACAGTTTTCTCTAAACTCTAAGTTTAATTTGGTCAACGTAAAAAGAGCAACATGATTTTTTTCTGGAACTTGACATGCTGATTTGAAAGTGTAAAGCAAGAAAATTCTGAAAGTTATGGAGATGACAGCCATACCACATCTTAAAATACATTAAAATAAATGTTAGTAGTTTGGTCCCATTACTATTATGACAGGAATGGCAGAATAATGGAATATAATAAAAGCCCAGAAATAGAACTAAAAATGAAAATTTACCATATGACAAAGGCATTGTGTCAAAACTGTGGTAAAAGATGGACTGTTTGGTAAATGATTCTGGGATAAATGGCTTTCTGGGGAGAAATATTATATCCCTACCTATATGTACACATCTGTATATATATGCTGTGCACGTATAGAGTGTCTGAAAGAATGCATATGAACTTTTTACTTGTTCCTCAGACTAAGACAATTGATCAGAAATGTAAAATTTGCTTTTTATTTACATATTCATTTTTTTAAACCATGTATAATTATTAACCCTTTCATTGAACAAACTTGTTAACATTTTAGATTTAGTTGGCAGGCAGATGGAGTTTGACCTTTTGAAGCATTAAATTGACTGGCTTTTCTGTGTTTCTCCCCAGTGACCTGTGCATGGATTGTGCCTTGCAGCTGGAGACCTGCCCATTGTGTCGTAAAGAAATAGTATCTAGAATCAGACAGATTTCTCATATTTCATGACACATGTGAAGAGGCATCGTGGACTTTTTTCTACTCAATTCCAGCCAATGTTGAAAAGAAAAAGAAAAAAAACTCTCTAATCAGTTGTACACATACTGAAACTTATAGCCATGGCCAGATTTTATGCTAAAAATGGTAGTTTGTCAAAGACAAAATTCTCTTAGAATCTAATCCAACTTGCCAGCCCTGAAAAAATCCCTTTAAGGCCACGGAAAGCTGAATGCTAGCAGCCAGGCCTGTGGTACTTCCATGAAAAACTATAGGAGACAATGCCCTCCCAAGTACTGAAATCACACTGGAATCCTCCATGTTGGGTTCATTTGATTGTTTAACACAGGACGTGTTGTGTCATTCTGAAGTTTTTATTTGGGGCAGAAGTCTTTATGGAGATGTAAATGACAGCATTTCTGGGTTATGCATAACTTCTCACTGGTTGGAGAGACACCGGTGTGTTAAGCATGGATATTGCATTGCAAGACTTGAATCTATAAACATTAGAATCACACAGTCAGTACTACAAGCAAAACAGAGAACCTGAAAGAAGGTGCACAGACTGTAAGAAAAAACCCAAGTTTGTGATATTTCAGTGATTCCAAAGAACATTCTAGGTTTTTTGTTGTTTTTTTGTTTTTTGGGTTTTTTTTTTTACTGCAGAAAATCGGTGGTATTTTCATATTCATAGTGTTCCTATCCAATTTCAGTACCCACATTTTATGAGGAAAAAATGTTTTACCAATGCAGGAGGAATTCTTAAATTAGCTGTAATGTTAGGTTGGAGAAAATTTGGTATTTAGGGTATTTTTAAGGTACCATCAAATCAGATTTCTTTTTGTTAAAAAAATTTTTTTAATCAGTATTGTTTTTACAAGTAATATACTTTGAAACTCTTGAACTAATAGTCTCACAAACTCTAGAGGACAGTCTGAGAACACGTATTTCTATTGTTCTAAATAAATACATGTTTTCGAATAGTAAGTTCAATCATGAATTATTGACTATGTCTTCTCAAAAGTGTTAATCCCTCTCAGGGTCTCTGGTGAAGACCTTCAAGAGTTTGGTTTTTTCTCCCAGGAAATTGGAAGGTAGAATTGTAAATTCATAGAACTTCTTTTATAATGGTGTACCTCTGCAGCTGCCTTTCAATTTATGCCAAGTCCTTACAGAGTTTATACTTGAATAGTAAATATGTCTTCTGAGTTTTACAGTGTCTTAAACTCAATGCACATTTTTTTTTCTTCTTTTTCCACCCCTTCTTGTTTATAGTTCATTATACCTGTCCTATTACAGAGCTGATTTCCTTCCTGGCTGTACATGTTGGGGTGCTGGATTTTTTCCCATGTCTTTAGTCTTCCATAAATCCAAACAAATATATATATATATATATATATATATAAAAATATATGTAGATACATGTTCTCTTCTTTAGCTTGTGGTGAATACAGTAATTTGCATTGAAGAATAAAACATCTGTTGCCTTTTTTGACTAAGATTTCACAACTTTCATTGGTATATACTGCTAAGGTTCCAAGACATTATACTCTCAGACTTTAAGGGCTACTTTTGGGAGTAGGAGAGAATCAAGTATTAGAATTAAGAATAAGGCTAATCACTTACTTATCCAGCAGATTGTTATTGAGCACGTAATATGTGCTGGGCACTGTGCCTATGTGGCATACAAAATACCTGTTTGTAGAGCTTATGTCTAATAAGCTTGTCTAATTATTGTCTATTATTATGTCTAATAATAACTTGGAAGTGGTCCAGCTGAGACTAAAGGTAGTCTGTACATTTAGTGGAGAGAGGGAAAAATAGATGGAATTAATAGATAATTTGCCAGGCAAAGGAAAGCAGGAGCCTAACAGCTTTCTAAAAATCTACCCTTAAAGTTTGTTCCTAAGGTGGGGAGAAGACAATGTATTTGTGTTTATTGTAACAAATTTTTAGTGGAAAAGAATAGGGTCCTAGAGAGAATGAGGGGGAACTAATTTAGATGGTGGTGGGAGTGTCAGAAGAAACCTCACTGAGGAAGTAACATTAGTGAAACTTAAAGGAGGAAGTAGGACATAGCCTGGCAGAGACTGAGGACTAGCTTCTAGGACTGGGTAGCTAGGCGAACACAACATTACAGGCAAAGGCACTAACTGAGGAAGAACGGGTCTCAGTGGGTTTGGGGATCAGATGGAAGGCCCCTGTAACTAGAAAAATAGGAAGCAAGTAGGTAGAGTAGGTAATGCTACAGGCCAGGGAACTGCTCATGAAGGCTATGTGAAGGGTTTTCTATTTTATACTAAGTGCAGTAGAAAGCAAAGGTGTTTAAGCATGGAAGTGCCTTGATAATTCTAACAGATGGCTCTGGCTCCTATTTGGAGAATGAAATGGAGGAGTGGGGTGAGCTGGGGGTAAAGGATAAGCAAAAAATGTAAATAGACCAGTAAAGAAACGTGTGGTCCAGCTGAAACTAAAGGTAGTCTGTACATTTAGTGGAGAGAGGGAAAAATAGATGGAATAAATAGATAATTTGCCAGGCAAAGGAATGCAGGGGTCTAACAGCTTTCTAAAAATCTACCCTTGAACTTTGTTCCTAAGGTGGTTTACTTTTCCTATTCTTAACTTCTAGATCATAAAAGGGCTTCAATATGAAATCGATCAAATCATCCAGGATGGAAGCTAAGTTGTAAACTTGGAGCCACCTCCAAGGGAAAGACAGGAATTCCATATCAAAGAAAAAACTAGGGGTTAGCAAGCTATGTGGAAGAGTAAAATCGTACATCCATATTCTGAACTGAATGTAAGCATTTAAGAGAAAAGCTAGACTTTTACTACTGATAAATGGTTACCAGGGAGAAAAACAAAAAATTATGGTATTTTGTCAGGTGATTCATTGGGGAAATCCAGCATTTCAGCCAAAAAAAATTGTAATGAATTAGCCCCTTTTAAAAATGACATAGAGCAGAAGTCATGGTGCCATTTGCAGAGTGCCAGGAAACAATGATTCACAAAACTGACACAATTTCACTAGCAGAAAATGACTTTCACACAAGTTTCAACCATCTTGAATGTGTATCCACGAAAAACCAACTAAGATCAGGTCTTTCCAAGATTGCCCATCATTTACCTTTTGCTATTCACTCAGAATTCCTAGTGCCAACCCCCAATCAAAGGATTTAAAAAATTAGTATTAATGGAAAAACATTTAGTATATTCAAGTCAACTTTTAATTTTGCTACAAGTGGAAAAAGACCATTGTGTATTCAGGAGAAAACATGTTCTCATTTCCAAGAATATGGTTTAACAACCCAGGGATTAGGGGCTATACAGCACGATGGTTGAAATAGGCCTTTTGGGTGGGACTGGACCCAGGTCCCACTAATGCTTGGTTTTCCAGACTATAAAATGGAGATACTCATACCAGTTTTTTGTTTTTACGGGGTTTCAGATATTTCAAAAGGAGACAATGTATTTATAAATGTTTAGCACACTATCTGATACATCCCTGAGTGGGTACATTTTATCTTTATCCCCATTTGTTCCTAGAGTCAATAAGGGTGGTGAAATGGATTAAAAGATGGCCACAAATTATTTGACATCCCTCCCGTCAAGAAATGAGGTTTATGTCCGCTCCCCTTAAATTTGGGTGGCTCTGTGTCTGCTTTATCAGTGGAACACAGTGGAAGGGATACTGTGCCAGTTTCCAGTACCAGGCCTTTAAGTGACTGCCAGCTTCCATTTCTGTGTCTCTTGAAACACTTGCTCTTAGACCCAGCACCATGGTGTGAGAAAACCCAAGAATCCCCTGAATCCTATACATGGGGAGGAACTTGGACCCCCAGCCGCCGGCCCCAGTTCTCTGGCCAATGTCCACAACTGAGAGCCAAGAGCCAACACTAATTTGCCAGCCACGTGAGTAAATTCCTTGGAGGGAGCTCCTCTAGTCCATTCCAGCTGCCCCAGCCGACACCAACTGGAATAGAGACTAGTGGCCCTGCCAAGCCCTGCCCAAATTACAGATTAGTGAGCAAAATGGTTATTTTAAGCCACTAAATTTTCAGGTTGGTTTGTAACAGCAATAGATAACCAGAACAGATTAAATCAAGGTGTGTTCCTCCTCCACTCCATCAATGACTTAGGAAGGGTAGGCAAATTCATTTTGTCCAGAAATGTGTGGTATATAGAGAAAGGTCATAAAGAAATTATCTGAGTTTGCTGTGAGCTGTGTGACCAGGGCTTGACTAAACTCAGTCCAGTAATTCAGCAAACCTTTTAAAATGCCTATCTTCCACTTGGTGCTAAACAGAGTAACTCATAATTGATGTCACCTGACCACGCGTGGTGGCTCACGCCTGTAATCCCAACACTTTGGGAGGCCGAGGTGGGCAGACCACCTGAGGTCAGGAGTTCAAGACCACGCTGGCCAACATGGTGAAGCCCTGTCTCTACTAAAAATACGAAAATTAGCCGGGCGTGGTGGTGCACGCCTGTAAGTCCAGCTACTCGGGAGGCTGAGGCAGAGGTTGCAGTGAGCCAAGTCTGTGCCACTGCATTCCAGCCTGGGCGACAGAGCAAGACTCCGTCTCAGAAAATGAAATAAATAGGCCGAGCACAGTGGCTCACGCCTGTAATCCCAGGACTTTGGGAGGCCGAGGCGGGCGGATGACCTGAGGTCGGGAGTTCAAGACCAGCCTGACCAACATGGAGAAACCCCGTCTCTACTAAAAATACAAAAAAAAATTAGACTAGCATGGTGGCGCATGCCTGTAATCCCAGTTACATGGGAGGCTGAGGCAGGATAATCCCTTGAACCCGGGAGGCAGAGGTTGTGTTGAGCCGAGATTGCGCCATTGCACTCCAGCCTGGGCAACAAGAGTGAAACTCCGTCTCAAAAAATAAATTAGTAATAATTGATGTCACCTTGGTCACAGCTGTCACACCCAATTGTGTCTTTGTAACCATCTTTGTTACAGATCCCACGGATATCTATTTTACGTCCATTCAAAGATGCCTGCTAGGCCGAGCGTGGTGGCTCACGCCTGTAATCCTAGCCCTTTGGGAGGACAAGGTGGGTGCATCACCTGAGGTCAGGAGTTCGAGACCAGCCTGGCCAACATGGTGAAACCCTGTCTCTGCTAAAAATACAAAAATAGCCGGGCGCGGTGGCGGATACTTGTAATCCCAGGTACTTAGGCTGAGGCACGAGAATCGCTTGAACCTGAGAGGCGGAGGTTGTAGCCAGCCGAGATCATGCCACTGCACTCCACCCTGGGCGACAGAACAAGACTCCGTCTCAAAAAAATAAAAATAAACAATGTCTGCTAACCCATTCTGACTGGCCACCTGACCCTCAGTTCATACCTTAAATCCCTCTAGTTCCTCTAGTCATATACTGCACTTTGGCCAAAAGGTATCATGCAATTAAAGAGACACAATGCTTAGCTGTCCAATCAAGAGAAATCAGCTCAAACGAATCCTTTGTTTCAAAGTTTGGCAGTTTTGCAGAGGCCTTTTCCTGAAAAGTATATGATTCCTGATTGCGTGGCTCAAAACAGTTCTTCGACTCTCATCTTGTATAATTAGTCAAGAAACCAGTTACTGCCGAGTAAGCTTTATAATGCGAAGATTATAATGCAAATTACAAGGCATCTACTTCTTGCGATGGCGCTTTCCTTCCACGAGGGGTAGGAATTGTCTTGAAATCAGACGTCAGCATCACCTGGTTCAGGGATAAAGGACTGGCTCTCCAGCGACTTGGCAACTTACAAGCGCTCTTCAAAAGCGCCTTAAACTACTTAATTTTCCACACTCTGGGAGGGGCGATTTATTCTCGAGTTGCGAGCGAGGAAATTCAGGCTCGTGGCTTCGTTTCCTTTATCCGTAAAATGGGGCGACTTAAGACTGAGTCGCCAAGCAACGCGGGCTAGGCGAGGCCCAGCATCCCTCCGCATTCCTTTCCGGGACTTCCTCTCCCTGTCTTGCCCCGCCCCGGCATCGGTGACGCGCGCCTGTGATTGGCTGCCGGCCCGCCGTGAGGCAGCGGAAGGGGTTGCAGTGGCCATGGTGACAGGAGGTGGGGCGGCAGTCACCTAGGCCTGGACCTGCGGCGTCGGCTGCGCGCGCAGAGGGCCCGGCGGGGCGTAAAGGTCGGGCGGACGAGTGGACGCTGCGGATAACCAAGGCGGGGCCTGGCGCGCAGGCGCTGACCCGACCTGGCAGTGAGGTGGCCGCGGCCTTGGCTGAGAGGCCTTAACCCCGCTGGCCGCCGCGCCCTGCATGCGAGTTGGGCCGCGGGCGCGGCAGGAGCCTACTCGGGGCGGCGGCGATGGACGCCTTAGAAGAAGAGAGCTTTGCGCTGTCTTTGTGAGTAGCTCCGCCAGGGGGCAGGTGACTTGGGGACGGGGACAGCGGGCGTTTGCCCGGGCCTGACCCTATAAAACAGGTGTCCTTAGGGGCGGAGCAGGGTGGGGGCCGCCAAGGCGCCGTCCCAGCCCCAGGCCT